CTTCTTATTGTCAAATTGTAAGAGTTTATTATGTATTCTTAATACTAGACCCTTATCATATATAGGAGTTACAAATATCTCCTCCCATTCTGTGGACTGTGTTTTCACATTTTTCTCTATGACAGCTTTATTGATAAAAACAAACAATGTATATACTGAATTATATATCAATTGCTAACAGCTTTATTAAAATATAATTCATATGCCATGAATTCATCATTAAAGTGTACAATTCCATTTTCTTAGTATATTCACAAATTGTGGTACAATCATTACCCTAATTTTCTTTCTTTCTATTATTTTTATTTGGCTTCGCTGGGTCTTAGTAGGAGTGTGTGGGATCTAGTTTCCCAACCAGGGATTGAACCCAGGTCCTTTGCACGGAGAGTGCCGAGTCTTGGCCACCAGACCAACAGGTAACTCCCCCTAATTTTTTCTTTGAAGCACAAAAGTTATTAATTTTGATGACATCCAATTGATCAATTTTTCTCTGGCTGCTTATGCTTTTCATATTATTTACATTTAAGAAACCATTACCTAGCCCAAGATCAGGAAAATTACTCCTACATTTTAAGAGTTCTCTAGTTTTAGCCCTTATATTTAGGCTTATGGTTTACTTGAGTCAAATTTTACATACAATATAAAGTAGGGACCCAACTTTACTCTTGCTTGCACATCCTGTCTCACTTGTTCACGATGATAAAGTCAGCTGGCATGTTGTAAGCTCTTTTTGGAGGGACTTTCGTGGAAAAGGACCGAGGAAAGCCTTGGGCCAACAGCATGCCAGGAACTCAGTCCTGCCAACAACCACTCGAGTCATGCTGGAAGCAGATGACCTCTCTTTTGCAGCATTCCCCATCACTGCAATCAGTTATCTGAATTCTTCCCCAAGACTGTCTGAGCTTCTTCCCCAAGACTGTCAAGTCAGAACTAGCTGTATCTTTTCTATACTGAATTCCCCGCACCAAACATGGTACCTAGCACAGAGTGAATGAAAAAAATGAATAAAAAATTGAAGGAATTAATAAATAAAGGACAATAAAGCCTCACAGGTCAAAAAGGAGGCAGGAGGAAAAAAAAAAAAAAAAAGCCCAGTGCTTTAGTAAAGACAGTAATAAAAGTCTCAAAATTCCCAGGATTTACTTTTTTAAATATAAAAAAAAACCCACAAAAATAAAACCATGTCAACATGTTCTAGATAAAAATTTGTTATGACAGAGTGCATTATAACCAAATTCCCTAAGCAAATAAAAAGTTCCACAGGGGTTAGTTCATAGTTCAAGATTTTTTTCTTTTCTCCCCACTTTTCCCCCCAGGATCTTTGAGAAAAATGCTGCAATTTTAACATGAGTAACAGGAGTTGACCTGGAACATAAGGGATGACAGTGAAGCCAGGCTGTGTGTTGTACAGAAGATGCCCTGCATGATCAACAGGCTGGAGCTGCTGTTTCTCTGTTCTTGATATTAAATCTGGGGAACCTTTAGCTAAATGCAAAAAGGAGGATTTTTGAAATTTGAGGATAAACCCATGGCCACAGGAAGGTAAATTCACCAGTTGTTTTAGTTGGTGAAACTCCTACAGGACTTTTTAAAGGATAATACTGTATACATAATCAGCAGTCAAAAAACAGCTTCCTCCAGCTGGCTCCCTGCAAGGGCATGCAGGGCTCGGCTCCCCTTGGCAGCCCGCTCTTCTTCCTCTCCGCCTCGCACGCCCTCCCCCTGTACACCCAGGGCTCTTGCCGTCCTTGGTCACAGGACATACCTTTTCATCTCTGTGCCTCTACACACTGTCTTTCTCTGACTGGAGGCTCCTGTTTAGTGCCACCCAGTCCCCACAACACCAACTTCAAAATCTGAACGCTCTTGATTCCCCTGGAAAAGTAACAAGTGACAGTGAGAGTCACTCAGTTGTGTCCGACTCTTTGCCACCCCATGGACTATACAGTCCATGGAATTCTCCAGGCCAGAAAACCAGAGTGGGTAGGCTTTCCCTTCTCCAGGGGATCTTCCCAACCCAGGGATCAAACCCAGGTCTCTCGCATTGCAGGTGGATTCTTTACCAACTAAGCTATGAGGGAAGCCTGATTCCCCTGGAAGTGAGGGCTGTAGTGATCTATTGATCTGTCCTCAAAGGGCACTTGGATTTATCTCTTTAAAGGGCTAACTCATTCAGTGTTGTATCACTAGCAGTGTTCTATCACTGATCCTCTCTTGACTACTCAGACCAGAGGATACGGTCTCTGTCTTTTTTCCTTACATAAACCAGCACAAGGCTGTGGATAGAGCAAGGGCTTGAAACATAAGTTTTTTTAAATAAACAAATGAAAAAATGAATGAAATGTACATGCTAAGGGCCTTTAAATGAGTCAGATGTACTTTATATCCCAATGCCGATAATAATATAGCCATAGAAAGAGATTTAATGTTAAAAATATTTTATTTTGCCTTTTTATGGTATTTTGTTTTCAGATGTACCAATTACTCTCTCTCATAAAACAAAAAGGAACTCAAAAATGAAGAAACAGAATGTTCTTCTGTTATGTCTTACTCTTTGAGACTGCAGCACAACCAGGCCTCCCTGTCCCTCACCATCTCCCAGAGTTTACCTAAGTTCATGTCCATTGCATCAGTGATGCTATCCAAGCATCTCATCCTCTGCCTCCCTCTTCTACTTTACCTTCCATCTTTCCCAGAATCGGAGACTTTTCCAGTGAATTGGCTCTTGGCATCAGGTGGCCAAAGTACTGGAGTTTCTGCATCAGTCCTTCCAATGAATATTTAGGGTTGATTTTCTTTAGGATTCACTGGTTTGATCTCCTTGCTGTCCAAAGGACTCTCAAGAGTCTTCTCCAGCATCACAGTTCAAAAGCATCAATTCTCTTAAGGTACAACTTCTTTATGATACAACTCTTACATCCTTACATAAATACTAGAAAGACCAAAGCTTTGACTATATGGACCTTTGTTGACAAAGTGATGTCTTTGCTTTTTTTCTTTTCCTTTGCTTTTTAATACACTATCTATGTTTGTCATAGCCTTCTTTCCAAGAAGCAAGGGTCTTTTAATTTCATGGCTGCAGTCACCAGCCTGTGATTTTGGAGCCCAAGAAGAAAAAAATCTGTCACTACTTCCACTCTTTCCCCTCTACTTGCCATGAAGTGATGGGACCAGATGCCATGATCTTTGTTTTTTTTATGTTGAGTTTTAAGCCAGCTTTTTCACTCTCCTCCTTTACCCTCATCAAAAGGCTCTTCAGTACCCCTTTCTGCCATTAGAGTGGTATCATCTGCATATCTGAGGTTGTTGATATTTCTCCCAGCAATCTTGATTCCAGCTTGTAACTCATCCAGCCCATTATATTGCATGATGTACTCGGCATATAAGTTAAATAAACAGAGTGACAATATTCAGCCTTGTCATACTCCTTTCCTAATTTTGAACCAGTCTGTTGTTCCATGTAAGGTTCTAACTATTGCTTCTTGACCTGCATACAGGTTTCTCAGGGGCCAGGTCAAAACGATCTGGTATTCCTACTCTTTAAAAACCTCTCACACTTTGCTGTGAACCCTACAGTCAAAGGCTTTCATGTAGTCAATGAAGCAGAAGTAAATGTTTTTGGGGAATTCCCTTGCTTTCTCTATGATCCAACGAATGTTGGCAATTTGATCTCTGGTTCCTCTGCCTTTTCTAAACCCAGCTTGTACATTTGGAAGTTCTCCACTCAAGTACTGCTGAAGCCTAGCTTGAAGGATGTTGAACATAACCTTACCAGCATGGGGCTTCCCTGGTAGCTCAGTTGGTAAAGAATCTACCTGCAATGCAGGAGACCCCAGTTCAATTCCTGTGTCAAGAAGATCCCCTAGAGAAGGGATAGGCTACCCACTCCAATATTCTTGGACTTCCCTTGTTGGCTCAGCTGGTAAAGAATCTGCCTGCAATGCAGGAGACCTGCGTTTAATCCCCAGGTTGGGAAGATTCCCTGGAGAAGGGAAAGGCTACCCACTCCAGTAATCTGGCCTGGAAAATTCCATGTACTGTATAGTTCATGGGGTGGCAAAGAGTTGGACACAACTGAGTGACTTTTACTTTCTTTCACTTTACTAGCATAGGAAGTGAGCCCAGTTGTCTGGTGGTTTGGTGGCTCAGATGGTAAAGAATCTGCCTCCAATGTAGGAGACCCAGGTTTGATCCCCAGGTCGGGAAGATCCCCTGAAGAAGGGAATGGCAAATCACTCCAGCATTCTAGCCTGGAAAGTTCCCTGGATGGGGAGCCTGGCGGGCTATAGTCCATGGGGTCACAAAGAGTTGGACACGACTAAGCAACTTTCACTTTTGAACATTTTTTAACACTGCTCTTCTTTGGAATTGGGAAGACAACTGACAATTTCCAGTCCTGCGGCCACTGCTGAGTTTTCTAAATTTGCTGACATATTGAGTGCAGCACTTTAACAGCATCTTTTAGGATTTTAAATAGCTCAGCTGGAATTCCATCACTTCCACTAGCTTTATTGGTAGTAATGCTTCCTAAGGCCCACTTGACTTCATACACCAGGATGTCTGGCTCTAGGTGAGTGACCACACCATCATGGTTATCTGGTCATCAGTACCTTTTTTGTACAGTTCTTCTGTGTATTCCTGCCACCTCTCCTTAACCTCTGTTAAGTCTTTACCATGTTTGTCCTTCATCATGCCCGTCCTTGCATGAAATGTTCCTTTGATAGCTCCAATTTTCTTAGAGATCTCTAGTCTTTCCCATTTTATTGCTTTCTTCTACTTCTTTGCATTGTTCATTGAGCAGTATAAAAAGGCAAATGTCCTAATACATTACTCTACACAGTCATGTAAAGCCAAGAAAGTAAATAATTAACGAAGCAAACTATTAAATATAGCAAAATGAGCTTTTCAAAAGCTTCCAAGAATTCTTTAGTCTACTGTTGAACTTTTAGCAAAATAATCTGGATAAGTTTTAAAGTTTAATAATAAACATTAGTCTTAAATAATTAGTGATTAAGTCAAAGTAGTTTACTTCAAATATAAGAATTAACTATAGAAGTGGAATGTATAGATTATTTAGGGAATGTTGTTTGAGAGGACAGTGTTCTCATGACTAAGTCCAGTGTATCCTGAATCCTCAAGTTATTTCTTTCTATCAGGGAAGACGATTTCCCAGACTTCATGCTTTCTTCTGGATCAAGGGGGATAAGGGTATGGGGGTTGAACTGACATCGAGGCTCCCCCAAGATGCCAACTCTGTGGAAAGAATTATTGGTATAGATGAATCTTTGCTGAGGTCAAAGACTAAGGCACAACTAAGGTTGTGCTTTGTATGTGTATAAAGCTAAGACTGATACACACACACACACACACACACACACACACACACACAGATTTATGCACCTATTACTTTCTTTAAGCTTTCCCTATTTCTATGAACCACCACTGTAGTCTTAAATATGGGTCCAAAAACTTGACACCGAGCAAGATTTTGTACCACATTTCCCAAAGATTATTCTTCTAATGGGAAAACCTCAGTCTTACAAAGTCTGCTACTCACTTCACCAAATTAAAACTGTTTGAAGTCTAGTATAACTTTCTAGTTTTTTCTAGCCTAGATGCATATACCAAGAGCTGATCTGGAAAGAAAACAGGTGGACAGGAGCCAGGGATGGTAGGAAGACTGTGTTTCCACCTTTTTTCAACTTTCTGGCAGAAGCACTGTGTCTGAGGCCCTGCCCCTCCTGGGTCCCAACTAGGAAGCAACACACAACTCTCCATCTCTCCTTCCTCTCCCCTGGGGCCACTTACATTGGCATGTGCAAAGAGTCCAGAGTTTCCCTGGGCTCTTGCAGCTGGGCTGGGAATTTCGTGCCTATTCGACGGTACTTTTTCTCAGAGACATTCTGAGCTTTTTCTCTGAGAGAGGGCAGCAGAGTGGACATGACTGGAGAGCGCATGTGAATGGCTTTTTTAATCGCTGGGCGTTTTGCCATCATTCTCCTGGCAGGGAGAAGCAGAGATGACATTTAGGTCACATCATCCTGTTTTCTAGCAACGTCCTTGAACTTAGGAGAGTCAAAAGGTCATACCTGAATTGTACAAAAGTCATGCGCTTCTTTTCCCCTCCTGACTCTTCATCCTCACGCTTCCTTCGAGGAATGTTGAACATGTTGGAACGAAAGAGCCTTCCTATTTCTTCCTCAATCTCTGTGAAGTGTTGACGTCGGAAGACAATCCAGGCTACATATGTACAGAATGTATAAAAGGACTACAACAGAAGACAGACAAGAATCACAGTCCACAGCAATGACATGAAAACTGACATGGGAAACTCCTGTCTATGGAACACCGCTAAGGAGATGCAAACCAAGATGACCCACTCTCCTCATGCCTGAAGCACTGTGGGAACTTATACACGTACTCACTTTTGCAGGAGGAAAATCAGACCAAAGATTTAAGGAATGGCACACAGCTTATTAAGATCCTTTTTAGAAGATATTTACTAAAAACATGTGCCTGAAAAGTAACTATTGGTTATTGCTATACTTCATGTTTCATGTCAAAGAGCAGAGTCCCCAAAGGTAAGTAACTCACCTCAAAGAATTTCCAGTCTTTTTGTGTATCTGATATTTTTCCCCTGAAATAAAACAAATCATAACTATAGGTTAAAAGGGAAATTCAATATTTCGGTGATCTAGGCAATCCTTTATCTTCAAAAGGGCTCTTTGCAGATTATTACCAATGATCTCATAACTATTTACTCACATAAATGCTATCAAAAAGGCATGAGTGCCAATGTCTTTTTCTTCAACTTTCAAGGTTACCCAGCTCAAAACCCCTAGTGTTTGGTTAATCAATATATCCTGTGATAAACCATAATGGAAAAGAACATGAAAAATGATGTTTATGTGACTGAATCACTTTGTACAGCAGAAATTAACACAACATTGTAAATTAACTACACTTTATTAAAAAAAAATAGAGTGGGACTCATAGAAAAAGCTAAAATAAATTAATAGAAATTCAAGATATACATAATGAGTATAAATTCAGGATAAACAATCCAGCGAGGAAATGTATTCTTCCAAATATATCTGGTAAAGTGTATGTCCGGGAGGTGAGGAGAGGGAAACAGTGGTGAAGAGGCAACACAAGGTGTTGGCAGGAATGGAAATAAAGAACTAGAGACTGGCTTTAAAATAAAGAAAAAAAATCTCAAACAGTGGTTATGGCTATTGGATGCAAAAAGAATCAGAAACAAAACAGACACAGGTTGATAAGAGCATAATCCAGAAGAAATATAATACAACCCACAAATGTGACTTAAAACCTTATAGGAGTCACAGTAAAAAGAAACAGGTGATATTAATTTTAATAATATACTTATTTTACCCCCAAATATTATCATTTCAATATACAATCAATATTTTAAATTATCAGTGAGTTATTTTATTCACTTTTAAACTTTTTGTACAGTGCATTTTTCACACTTACAGCATATATTAATGTGGATCAGCCACATTCCAAGCACTCAGTAGCCACACGTGGTAAGTGGCTGCCATGCCGGTCAACAAAGAGGCCTTACATTTACCTGTGAGGGTGAAATCCAAAGGAAAGAGGGGGAAGCCAGGCTGTTGGTAAACTCAGAGACTGTCATGGTCTCTTATGTGGTTTCTTTTTCCTTCCTGCTAAATGAGACTCTTAGCTCTAAACCAAATCATATTTTCAGTCATTCCTGAAGGGGTGTAAAGCCTAGAGCCAGACATATGGGGTTCTGAGCTGGGGAGAGAAAAAAAAAACTGTGTTCCCACCAGGACCCCTGCTGCCTTAGGTTTAAAAGATGGTCAAGGCCTGCTCTGTACAAGGGAAGAGAAATTTCAAAGGCATGTGCTTGGGAGAGGGAAAAGAGGCCTTGGTGCAAGTGACTGAAGGTAAGGGTTGGGGAGAAGGACTTAAAGATGACTTAAGCACCTGAGCTTCAAAGAAACCTCTTTGTCCCCATTCCCATCCCCACCGCCAATCAGGTGACAGCTGCCCTGAGCGCAGAGGAGGAGGGTATGCCTTCTAGGGTAGAGGTGGGGTTGGAGCCAGAATTGGCCATAACCAAAGATCAGATCCAGTTCTATGGGCTTGTGCCATTTGGAGGTTTTCTCATCTATCCTGGAAAACGGAGCACTTTTACTCAACAAGTTCATCAAAATTTTGCTGAAGCTTTTGTAATATCAGGATTTCACAGATGTATTTAGAACAGAAAGACATGTCCTCCTACTTCTCAAGAATCATGAAAGCACTAAATTAACAGCCACTAAATTACTGGTTCTACTGAAATCTTTATCTCCAGAGATAAACAGCATAAGGTCTTCTAGTCCAACATTAAGTATGCATACATTAGAAAGAAAAGTCAGAAAATACACAGAATAGAAGCTTGTTCACAACAGGAAGAAGTTAAATAATGATATGTTAAAATCAGTTCATAACTCATAACTGGCAAAAACATTGTCCTTATCTTCTCTAAATAAAAACAACCACAAAGAGCAATACAAACTTCATGCAAGGACACAATCAACACCCATGGCCAATTAACAACTTTTTCTGGTAAAGTCATGTTATAATCTGTTTTACTCAATATCCATTGTTCAGCAATTTGGCCTATATAAAATTTGTTACGTGAATGGGGGTAGTGAGCTAAAAAACTGATTAAATTCTCCAAAGCAGGTGACATGGCCCACAACAGCAGAAAGAACAACATCTCTAGGTAATGTACTGAGGCAATCACTTGTAAACATGAGTTCTTTTAAAGTTTATATAAAAAAAAATACAATGTAATAAAAATGTACTTAAAAATGTTTTTTAGAGTGTTTTTTTAACCTTGTTATAGATGGAATGTGTCTTTCCCCCAACCTAATTCATATGTTGAAGCCCTTAAAACCTTTCCAAAGTGATGATAATTGGAATTGGGGCCTTTGGGGGATAACTGAATTTAGATGAGGTCAAGAGGATGTAGCCCCATAATGGGATTAGTGTCCTTTAAAGAAGAGGAAAAGACACTAGGGAGCTGTCTAGATTTATTATATTTTTCCTTTCAACTCCAATTCCAGTTCCTATGGAATATTGTTCTTTACAGCATTGGACTTTACTTTCACCACCAGACACAGCCACAACTGAGTTTCTGCTTTGGCCTAGCCACTTTATTCCTGCTAAATCTAGACAGTATATTAAAAAGCAGAGAAATCACTTTGCTGCCAAAGGTCCACATAGTCAAAGCTATGGTTTTTCTAGTAGTCACGCACCAATGTGAGAGTTGGACCATAAGAAAAGCTGAGTGCTGAAGAACTGATGTTTTTGAACTGTGGTGCTGGAGAACACTTTGGAGAGTCCCTTGGGCAGCAAGGAGATCAAACCAGTCCATCCTAAAGGAGCTCAGTCCTGAATATTCATTGGAAGGACTTGCTGAAGCTGAAGGTAGGATACTTTGACCACCTGATGTGAAGAGCTGACTCACTGGAAAAAAATCCTGATGCTGGGAAAGATTGAAGGCAAAAGGAGAAGGGGGCAGCAGAGAATGAGATGGTTAGAGGGCATCACCAACTCAATGGACATGAATTTGAGCAAACTCTGGGAGATAGTGGAGGACAGAGAAACCTGGCGTGCTACAATCCATGAGGTGGCAAAGAGTCAGACATGACTCAGTGACTGAATAACAACAACAAAAAAACAGCGCAAATGAACAAAGTTACTTATGTAAAGATATTCAATGTTAAAACAAAGCATAAAAACTGAAACTACACAAGTGTACGTAAGAGGAATGGTTAAGCAAACTGGTACATTATATGACAGAATATAATGTCATACGCTATTCAAAGTAGTAGGTGAGATTATATAAGCAGAATACTAGAATAAGGCTCACAGAAAAAATGTGGAACACAAAAAAGTATATACAATACAAATATTTGTATTTTGAAAAATGTGGAGGAATGTGGAGACAAGAGAAATTATGTATTGGGTTCTTTGCCAATAAAGTTTAAAAAAATTTTAAAAGTCTGACTATGACCAGAGACGGGTCTTGAGCCTATTGTGAAATTAGTACTCAGAGAGGGAGATTTTGGGTTAAGGATTGGAATTTTCTCTCCTGTGATCCCAAACTTTCCTGTGATATGACAGTTTAAAATTTTAATTATATTAGTTATTATAAACTGTCATCCTAAGGTAAAAAATATCCTTCCACAAATGGGGTCATTTTACCACTCCTACCTTACTCATACCCACAACTGTTTCTAAAAGACAATCAGCAGAAGGGCCGAGGACACACCCAATACCCGCTTCAACACTGGCCCATCACTCGGCTTCTTACCCAAGGCAGCCAAGTAGCCCTTGTCTGGCAACAGGAAAGCAAGATTTCACTGAGCTGATATAATTTGAGAGAACTTCTTTACTTTTACTGTTCTTACTCTTTTATTTGGAAGATAACTGCTTGATAATATTGTGTTGGTTTCTGCCATACAACAACGTGAATCAGCAGTAAGTACACATATGTCCCCTCTCTCTTGAACGTCCCTCCTCATCCCACCCCTCCAGGTCATCAGAGCACCAGGCTGAGCTCCCTGTGTATATTGCAACTTCCTACTAGCTATCTATTTTACATATGGTAATGTATATGTTTCACTCCTATTCAATTTGAAAGAAACTTAAACCCAAGTGGTAGCAGGTTGTTAAAATATCTGTCACACTAGAAACTAACACAGCATTGTAAATCAACTTTAATTGAAAGAAAGAAAAAAAAAATCAGCTGAGATTCTGGGGTTCTTCCTGGACTCACTTGGCTCTCTCCAACACTACATTACATGAGTCTGGGACAGTCTCAGTTGAGCCCACTTATTCTGTACAACAAAGAATAAGCCTTTCTCAAGGGCACCAAAAGTCAAAGTTAAGGGTGGTAAGGATGTGGATATACACACAAATGAAGATCTAAATGGGTGCTTACTTTCCGCAGCTCATGTGATGCTTCTCGGGCATTCCCAAGCCCAGGACAAGGACACAGTACTTCTGTGCCAAGTATTTCTGTGCTGCTTCTAACTTACTGATAATCATTTCCATTTCTTTTTTCTCTACAAGGCCTCTGAAAAGAAAAACAAAAATCTAGATTAATTTTTTTCTCTACAAGGCCCCTGAAAAGAAAAACAATAATCTGGATTAATTTGGTAAATGTCTTTATCAACTAGTGAAAAGTCAGAAGTATAAACTATTTTGAAAGAAACAGAAGTGAGTCAACACATTTCACTTATCGTTCCTTTTTTTTTATTTGAGCTGGGGCAGAAGAAGGTCCTCCAAGTCCTTTGACATTTATCATTGTAATCAGCATCTCCAGTTTGTGCCGAATATTATTAATTTATTTTATTTATTTTATTTATTTTTGGTTGTGCTGAGTTTTCGGTCCTGAACACGGGCCTTCCCTAGTCGCAGAGGGCTACTCTTCCATTGCAGTGTGAGGGCTTCCCACTGCAGTGGCTTCTCTTGTTGCGGGGCACAAGCTCTATAGCGCGGGCTCAGTCGCTGTGGCTCACGGGCTTAGCTGCTCTGCAGCCTGAGCAATCTTCCCAGATGAGGGATCAAACCTGTGTCCTCTGCAGTGACAGGTGGGTTCCTATCCAGTGTACCACCAGGGAAGTCCTGAGTATTCATTTTTTAGAGATTCTTTATATATTGTGCTATGTACTCTTGAGAGTCCTGAGTGTTCATTGGAAGGACTGAACTCCAATACTTTGGCCACCTGATGCAAAGAGCTGACTCATTTGAAAAGATTCTGATGCTGGGAAAGATTGAGGGCGGGAGGAAAAGGGGCTGACAGAGGATGAGATGGTTGGATGGCATCACGGACTCAATAGATATGAGTTTGAGTAAACTCCAGGAGTTGGTGATTGGACATGGAGGCCTGGCGTGCTTCAGTCCATGGGGTCGCAAAGAGTCGGACACGGCTGAGAGACTGAACTGAACTGATGTACCCTTAATTTTATACACAGACAGTCCTAATTGAGAACAGCTCAACTAACAAATTCCCTATCCTAGTTTCTGAGGCAGTGAGTAGCCCACTTTCCTGCTGTTTTGCTATAACAGCCATGGAGACTTTTTCCCACCTTAGCTGCCTGTGGGTTTTCTGACGTTCCTACTACGTTTGGGGGCTCAATGTTTGAACAACTCAGCGTCTGTCCACCCTCAGTTCTTTGTTTGCTAAAAAGGCACTAGTGAGGAACCACTCTGGGAACTCTGGCATCAATTACAATCACCTTCCTGCTTCCCTGTAAAACACAGCCCCATCCAACTGAATTGCAAATGTACTTTCTAAAAGACACTCTGTTTTTAGGTTACAGCATGTCTGAAGCCTAATTTTAGAAGCTTTGCAGTACAATACAGTAGGAAACAATATTGCCGACAATATATTCCAGTGATTGCTATTGAAAAATGAAGTGTCACTATCTTGTTTCCTGCCCTTTTGTTTTCAGAAAGATTTAAATCAGATGAAATGCACTTTAAACAACAGGAACAGCATACTGCCCCTTCTGTTGTTAACCACTAGACAGGAGGATAAGCTGTGGGCAAAGGGAGTGGGTTTAAGGATAACACAGATGTTTCCAAGCACAAAACTTTATCACACATGGTGAGAAAGCCTGTGAGTCATAAGAATAACATGAGCTTCTTGCAAAAGATAAAAGTGGGTTCTAACTTTAAATGCCCAAATATCATATAACCCAACACACACTCTCCCAGGAGCACCCCAATGACCATCACTGTTTCCTGCCTCCCTGTTTCCTTCAGAAGCACCACCTTCAGCCTTTACCTCTGCTTTGCCAGATCCACCTATTGGTGGTTAATCTCTCCTTTTGCTGCTGAAAACAAAGCAAACCAAACAACAACGAAGAAATGGTTTGAAATGTTTGGGCAAATGGTTCTCAAGTCTTAATAGTTTAAAAAATTTCACCTGGGGTATTTGCTAGAAGTCCAAATTTCCAATGCCAACTCCTCTTTCAGATTTTGGTTCCATTATGTCTGGGTAGAGCCTAACATTTTAAAACAAACCCAGGTATAATCCTCTGGAAAAAATTTTGGTAATAATTTCAAGTGCCACACAATTAGTCATAAATTTTGATCCAACAATCTCTCCTGGAAATTTTTTTAAAAAATCATTCAAAGTTAGGGGAGAAATGTAACATATGAAGATATCAATGCAATTATTTATGTCTATCAGAAAAACTGGAGACTCCAAAAATATATAAAATGGAGGGATAATAGGAATAGTAATACAGGCTGTAGTAACACAGCCAGTTACTGTTTAAGGACTTGACAAGGATCTAACATATGAGTCCCTGTGGGATTTAAGCCAGGCACCAAAGTCTGTGCTGTTATCACTATGCTACATTGCTTCTTAACAGGCAGATCTATAAGTCACTAACATACAGTGGCTTGATGGAACGTTATGCCAACATTTAAAATTATAATTATGAAGCTTGTAAAAACTTGAAAATACTTATGATGTTTAAAACTGCATACATAATTGAGCCTTTGTTCAGAAGCTGTAAGTCCTAATTACAAATGGATAGCCTTAGCGACAGAAAGCCAATCTGACTAGTGAGGGATGAGAGCACACCACACAGACAGACTGTGGAGAGTCAGAGGCATGCGTTCTGGTCTCAACTCCACCACTAACTTGGCAGGTAACCTCCAGCTAGCTATTTAAACTCTCTGAGCCTTAGCCTCATCATCGGTAAAATGGGGATAAGGCTTCTTCTTCTGGAATGAGGTCTTTTAGTCATCTAAGATCATCAAAGTGTATCTTTGACATCTTTCTATATCTCTTCCCACTCACCTCTCACAGGTTATAGGCTTTCCTTCCAAGTGCCAACCACTAGGTTAGGATAAAATGCATTATCTTATCTAATCTGGACAATAACTGAAAGTGAATGCTAACTATTATCTCTATGTTAGACCTCATTATTTTGACTGAAATTAATTTTTAAGTTATGCCCAGATACCTCAATGTAATTTAATTTGTTTCTATTATAATAAATAAACCAATCAACTAATGGAAACTTGAAAATGAAGTTATGCTTTTTTAGAATCACACCACAGAACCATTACTTTTAAGGCTTGCATTTTTCAGTCATTCTGTAACTGATTCATTCTATGAAAATAAACAAATATCACTGAAAAAAAAGGTGAGTGTTAGTCGCTCAGTTGTGTCTGACTCTGCAACCCCATGGACTGTAGCCCTACTCTGTCCATGGAATTCTTCAGGCAACAATACTAGAGTGGGTAGCCATTCCCTTCTCCAGGGTATCTTCCCAACCCAGGGATTAAACCCAGATGTCCTGCACTGCAGGCAGATTCTTTATCATCTGAGCCACCAAGGAACCCCCAACCAAATATTACTGGGTTCTATAATTTTAGTACATTTCAAAAATAACTAAGAAAACTTTCTTCTCTGTTATCTATTCTTATAGATTAAGAACTGAAACAATGTCTCTGACTTGAGTAGCAATAACCTACAGAATTTGAAAACAGCATACAAAATAAAAGCTAATATGCTATCAAAGTCTAATAAATTTCATCTTTGGAAACAGTAAGACTCCTCAAAGTTTCTGAGCCCACGGCTAGCTTGAGCCCCTCTGCTACCATAGAAACACTTTTCACAATCTCTGGCTGCTCTGCTGGATGTTTCATATTATAATGGCTTTACTGGAGCAGCAATGTTTGAATTATTTATTTGGCTCCTTAGAAAACTGCTATCCCAATACATTCATCTGTCCACAAAATGTTTCTCAGGCTGCCTGTTTATGTGCAAGGATTTTGCATTTTGAAAACATTCCACAGCAACAAACTGATGACTCTTATCCAGCATTTCTAAGAGCTAAATCATTGGGTTGGTTCCACATGTACTGGGGAGGGCACTGGAAAAGTTTCATGGCTTGCAAAGGTCACCATGCCTGAGAGGCATTGTTCCGCTTGGGACGCTGAGTTCCCAGATTCTTGCCCTGTATAGCTCTGAGCCACCTCCACCTAAAATGATTAAATTCTTCATATGTAGCCTAAGAAATCTTGTTTTCTTCTGTGATGTGGAATATCATTTGGGTCAAACCTGTTAATTTTTTTTAATTCTTAGTTTTTTTTTAATTAGATGCTTACAAACGCTTTAGCAAGAACTTTGTAAGCATGAAAAAGAGAAATAATATCTATATCCACACTGTTCAATTCCTCTGAATTGAGGAATATTATAAAATAGACCTCATTTCAAAAACTTGCTAAATAAAATAAAGTATTTTATTAATAACTTCCTAACATTGACTACAAGTTGGAATGATTATATTTTTGAGTCACTGGATTAAATAAAAAACCTTGTTAAAATTAATTTCCCCTGTATCTTTTTATAATTTAAAAATATAGCTATCAGAAAAGTTTAAATTACATACATAGCTCTCAAAAGTTGAGCATACTCTTCTATTGGGCAGTGTTGGTCTATATTATTTGGAATATTTAGTTAACAGAATACACCATCTGAATTATTCAGTGAGCATTAAAACTGGAGAACTCAAAAAGAGAACTCCTCCCTGTAAAATGTTTAATAATAATAAACATTTTATTTTTTATTTTATAAGAGAAATACTAAATAACATTTTATCTTAATAACCCAAGATTTCTCAATTTCCATCATCTCTTTAGCCTACACAAAAGTTAGTTTTAATACTGGCAGTGATAAAGCTTGAAGTGCACTATGGGGAATTTCCTGGTGGTCCAGTGGTTAGGACTGGTGCTTTCACTGCCAGGACCCTGGGTTCAGTCCCTGGTGGAGAATTAACATCCTGGAAGCCCCGAGGCTCAGCCAGAAATAAATAAATCAAATTTTTTTTAATGCACTATAAAATTCTACTTACACCATATAGCTTTTGGGTTTCTTTTCCTGTGAGATTTTTTCCAAGTAATAATATAAGTAGTACAACAATGCCATAAGGAAATTGTCAAGAATCTTATTCCTATGAGGAGATTAAAAGAAAATAATGACAACGTATTTCAATCATGAAGCTAGTCATAAAAAAATACATGGGCACACAACACAAGAAGTAGTAGAAACACATGTCAGCATACCCATCACACAACTAATTTACATTTAAAATTCTATCTACTATAACTGTTGAAGATATAAGAAATCTGACTTTGTAAACAAAACTTTTTAGGAGATCACAACTGAATTACAATTTTGCTTATCAGTTAGTTTTCATTTTTTAAAAGTTTTTATACTATAGGTAACTTTGTTGTTAAAAAAATGTACACAAATGTATGAGGTAAAAAGGCTCTCCCCTCACTCTTTTGGTCACCATCTTACTCCTTAGTGGAACCCACTGGTAAGAGTTTGGCATGAATCCATCCTAACCTTTCTAGAGCACAGACAATCACATATAAGGTCCTCCCCTACCAACACACATACATATGCATGAATATATGCCTTAAATATTTTTGTAACAAATGGGACAATTCTGTATACACAAGTCTTTGAAACTTGCTTCTGTCACTTATCTGTGTAGGATGGACCTCTTTCCATGATACCATGTATAGATTTTTCTAATTTTTTTAAACAGCTGGATAAAGTATTCTGTAGCTCATAATTTAACTAATCCTATACTGATGGATATTTAAGTTTTTAAAAAATATTATAGACATTGCTGCAGTAATCATTCTCATAGCCACATTTTTTAGTAACCTCCTAGAAGTGAAAAGGCTAGGACACAGAATATCTGTACATTAAAGTTTCATAAGTTTTGTTCTCCAAAAAGATTGCATTGATTTACAGTCCTACATCATGTGTTTTAAAACTAAAAGCCTTTGTTTTCTTTCCAAATATTCTTACAAAATTTTTGCTGCTTCCTTTCTAGCCCCAGATGGAAATGTTTACTGTGGCATGCTTTCCTTAACCATACCTTGAGAGCAAGATGAAGATGAGCAGTGCAGACTTTTTTTTCCATGATATTAATAAGTACCTGTCCTAGGCTGGGTTCTCTCAGAAACGTGCAGGAGACAGATATGAGAGTAAGTAGTTTACTTGGAAGTGACCAGAGTAAACATCAGTGAGGCAGCGGAGAGGTGAGACAGAAAAGGGGTGCTAACAAGTTCATTATCACTGTGTAGTTCAGTCCCATGGGGGACTCTGGGAGACAGTGTAGAAAACTCAAGAATTATCCTGACAGGTGGAAGGTGGGCTATTTATCTGCCAACTCTCCCTCCAGCATATCACTGACTGGAGGCTGTTTCTGGGACGCTGACTCCCTAGTACCCCAAGCTTGCCCTGTAGTCTGGCTGAGGGTGCACCTGCCACAGAATAAAGAAAGCATCAGGCAGAGACTCTCAGATGTTTGCCATGAATGGTCTTCACTGAATGCTGAGGGAATCTGAGGGCGCTCCCACAGTTCAGGACACCCATTTTCCACTGAGCGGTCGCAAGTGCAGCTGTCACGTGGAGCACCTTCCACGCACAGCTACCTGCGACACCAGGACTTCCAAACTTGTATCTGAGGGAACTGACGCTTAGGAAGGACAAGAAGCTCTGCCAGACTCACACACTTAGTACTTGGGGCTGCCAGTCATAACTAGTGGAGAACACTGATCTTCAGTAAGTGAGCATACCCTTTAACTAACATACACACAGTGCATACTTGCTGGAACTCTGACAATATGCTCTCCATACTCCTTGACTTTATTTTGGGCTCCTGTGGCCTGACTTTTTCTCCCTGTGGTCTCAGTCTTTGAAACAGAATCCTGAGAGGATGGCTAGCATAGAGCCAGCTCTTTCTCCTAAACTCAGATTTTTCATCATTTATCAGATGGAATGACTTCAAAATAAAAGATAAAGGATCTAAAATGTCTCACAAGTGTTACATACCTCATAAACGTTGTAAAGGAACAGATACGCGGCATCTCGGTATCTTGTAGTAAAAGCAAAGCCACAACTGAAGGGAGAGAAGATGGACAGTTGAAAGAGGAACAAACTGCTGCCTTAGAGGCTGACACCAGGGAACACATGTAAGGGTGATGACACAGTTACTCACATTTAGCATCGTGGAGTGTAACGTTGCCCTGCTGACTCCGTTTCTCCAAGCCTCTGGGTGACTTATCATCTCTTAGAGCAAACCGTTTATCTGTCAACCTGTTAGGGGACATGATAGTCTCTAGTAGTGCTTTAAAAAAAAATTTTTTTTTTAAATTTTTTGGCTATGCTGGGTCCTTGTTGCTGCAAGGGGTTTTCTGGTTGCACAAGCAGGGGCTACTCTTTAGGTGCGGTGAGCAGGTTTCCCATTGCCAGGGCCTCTCTCGTTGGGGACCACAGGCTCTAGGGCACGTGGACTTCCACAGTTGCAGCACATGGGCTCAGTAGATATGGCTCCCAGGCTCTAGAACACAGGCTCAACAGTTGTGAGACACGGGCCTAGCTGCTCCACAGCATGTGGGATCTCCCGGGATCAGGGAGGGAACTCGAATCTCCTGCACAGCAGGTGGATTCTTTACCACTAAATCCCCAGGGAAGCCCTTCAGTAGTACTTTGAAAGGTTTTAGTTGTATTTAATCTATCCTGAGGCACAGAAAGTATTTACTATAAAGTAAGAAGACCCTGAGTGTTATGCGTGGGTTTCATTTAATGTAGGATCATTTTGGAATATATTTTATTAAACATTGTATAAGCTAGGGATAGGAGGAATGTATACTGCCTGACATAAAATGAAAATATCAATTTCACCCAAAATAGAACATTTAGTTCATCTGTTTTTGGCATATCTATCCTTTTCAATTCTTTTTAAAAGTATAAGAAGCTGAAAATTCATTTGTAGCCAATTTATCACAAGGATACACTGGGATGACTAGCTCCCATCATAACTGTGAAATAGTGCATGTTCTCTCCTTGATGCGTATTTACATTTCAACTTAAGATATGGGAGTGATACTTTCTTAAGAGTTTGTAGAGGCTTAAGCCATTCTGCTAAGAGGCACTATTAGCAACACTGCCATGGTGGTAGTTAAGCTACCTGTCCGAAGCTGGACCATCAATTTCAACAAAGTGAACTGCTTTGCCTTTCTTTCCTCTTTCCTTGAGTTCTACTGCAGGTGTAAAACTGTAATAGAAATGAGAAAATTAGGAACTTCATCTTTTCTTGGGAGAAACTAATCAGAGCATTGCCATGGCTCATGGAACGTTAGGACTGATACATATTGTGTGTCCTGGAGAGACTCGGAGGCACATCCACACTTAATCCATGTATTCACGTGTGGAACCACCACCTAGGAAAAGATGAAAAGATTGGACTTTGTATTCAGCATCTACATATCACTAGACCCCAGAATATCACCATAAACAAAACATTTCATCTGAAAATCCAGCTGTAACTTCACAAGAAATAGAAGGCTTGTGATCAATTTGGAAGGATTTTTTTTGATTTACTGAGTACTTGTTATGTGCAAAGTGCTTCGAAGTATGATCTCATTCAATCCTCACAGCAACTCTATGAGGAAAATATAACTACTGTCACAATTTGTCCATTATGAGAAAGACTGAATTTTAGAAAGAGATCAAGTAAACTGACCAAGATCACTTAGCAAGTGCCAGAGCCAGAACTGGGGCCAGTTCTCTAGCTACAGAGCCATATGCTTACCCACCAGGCAGTCCTGCCTCCTGAGCAGGACTCAGTTGTCATCGCTGTGGACACTTCTAAAAGCTTGATTATCTCAAAGAAGGTTTCAGGACCTTTACTTAACTCAGAGTTTCTTAGACTCTTTAGTTTTTGTACAACCATTATTGAGCAGTAATGGGCCTAACTAACAATGGACCACAATTAAGCAACAATAAATATATACTGAGGCCATACTCTGTGTCAGGCATTGCTGTAATATCAAAAATAAGTGTTGTCTGACAAGAGTGTCCACTTTCACTACTATTATTCAACATAGTTTTGGAAGTCCTAGCTACAGCAATCAGAGAAGAAAAAGAGATAAAAGGAATCCAAATTGGAAAAGAAGAAGTAAAGCTCTGTTTGCAGGTGACATGATACTGTACACAGAAAACCCTAAAGATAGTATCAGAAAATTACTTGAGCTAATCAGTGATTTTAGCAAAGTTGCAGGATACAAAATCAATACACAGAAATCATTTGCATTTCTATATACTAACAATGAAAAATCAGAAAGAGAAATTAGGAAATCAATCCTATTCACCATTGCAACAGAAAGAATTAAATATCTAGGAATAAACTTACCTAAGGAGACAAAAGAATTGTACGTAGAAAATTATAAGACACTGATGAAAGAAATCAAAGATGACATAAACAGATGGAGAGATATTCCATGTTCCTGGGTAGGAAGAATCAACATTGTGAAAATGACTATACTACCAAATGCAATCTATAGATTCAATGTGATCCCTATCAAATTACCAATGGCATTTTTCACAAAACTAGAACAAAAAGTTTCACAATTCATATGGAAACACAAAAGACCCCAAATAGCCAAAGCAGTCTTGAGAAAGAAGAATGGAGCTGGAAGAATCAACTTTCCTGACTTCAGGTTACACCACAAAACTACAGCCATCAAGACAGTATGGTACTGGCACACAAACAGAAATACAGACCAAAGGAACAAGATAGAAAGCCCAGAAATAAACCTATGCACCTATGGGTATCTTATTTTTGACAAAAGAGGCAAGAATATACAATGGAGTAAAGACAGCCTCTTTGATAAATGGTGCTGGGAAAACTGAACACACATGTAAAAGAATGAAATTAGAACACTTCCTAACACCATACACAAAGATGAACTCAAAATGGATTAAAGACTAGGTAAGACTAGACAGGTAAGATTAAAGACAGGTAAGACTAGAAACTATAAAACTCTTAGAGGAACACATAGGCAGAACACTCGATGACATAAATCAAAGCAAGATTCTCTATGACCCAACTCCTAGAATAATGACCCACCCCCTAGAATAATGGAAATAAAAGCAAAAATAAACAAGTGGGACCTGATTAAACTTATAAGCTTTTGCACAGCAAAGGAAACTATAAGCAAGGTGAAAAGACAACCCTCAGAATGGGAGAAAATAATAGCAAATGAAACAACTGACAAAGGATTAATTTCCAAAATATACAAGCAGCTCATACAACTCAATGCCAGAAAAACAACCCAATCAAAAAGTGGGGGAAAGAACTAAAGAGACATTTCTCCAAAGAAGACATACAGATGGCTAACAAAGACATGAAAAGATGCTCAACACTGCTCATAATCAGAGAAATGCAAATCAAAACCACAATGAGATATCACCTCACACTGGTCAGAATGGCCATCATCAAAAAGTCTACAAACAATAAATGCTGGACAGGGTGTGGAGAAAAAGGAATGCTCTTGCACTGTTGGTGGGAATGTAAATTGATACAGCCACTAAGGAAGACAGTATGGAGAATCCTTAAAAAACTAGGAATAAAATCACCATATGACTCAGCAATCCCACTCCTAGGCATATACCCTGAGGAAACCAAAATTGAAAAAGACACATGTATCCCATTTTTTTCATTGCAGCACTATTTACAATAGTTAGAACATGGAAGCAACCTAGATGTCCATCGACAAATGATTGGATAAAGAAGTTGTGGTACATATACACAATGGAATATTATTCAGCCATAAGAAAAAACACATTTGAGTCAGTTCTGATAAAGTGGATGAACCTAGAACCTATTATACAGAGTGAAGTGAGTCAGAAAGAGAAAGATAACTATCATATTCTAACACACATACACGGAATCTAGAAAAATGGTACTGAAGAATTTATTTACAGGGCAGTAGTGGAGAAACAGACACAGAGAATAGACTTATGGACATGGGGAAATGGGAGGAGAGGGTGAGATGTATGGAAAGAGTAACATGGAAACTCACATTACCATATGTAAAATAGATAGCCAATGGGAATTTGCTGTATGGCTCAGGAAACTCAAACAGGGGCTCTGTATCAACCAAGAGGGGTGGGATGTGGTGGGAGATGGGAGAAAGGTTCAAAAGGTCAGGGGGGGGGGTGGTATATGTATACCTATGGCTGATTCATGTTAAGGTTTGACAGAAAACAACAAAATTCTGTAAAGCAATTATCCTTCAATAAAAAAATAAATTAAAAAAAACCATTGTCTGATTATAGTCAATGCACAGGCTCTCAGGATTATTAGGAAATGCTTAATAGGAAAACAGAAAAAAGTGTTTTAAAGATCAGCAGGATGCAGTTCCTGCCTTATAAAGAATGCATTTTCTAAGAGAATTGTGGTGTCTACCAAATACATTAGTTTGGCAGCCACTGTGGATTATGATGTTTATTTTTCTGCCTGAAATAATGCCACACTGATAACATGACTTAGAAGCTCAATCTCTGCCCACAGTTACAGGTCTCTTTGTTAAGTTTAAGTGTAGATACAGTAGATAGCAGCACTTTTCCCCAGACTAATCATTCTCTAAGCATGAACATACACTCTTATCATCTCCTTGTCAACGTAAGTTTTGAAACAACTTCCTTTACATTTTTTCTGGCATTGGTTGCCCACAAAGTCATAATTTTAGAGAAATACCTCCCATGGGAATAATAAAGTTAATCAGTTTGGTACTTTCTTCTTCCAGGAGTTTTTGCCAACATCCTGGCAATATTCAGACTGAAAATTAGGTTAGAATCTAAAAGCATGTATATACTTTTAGATATGTCACCTCAAGGGAATGACTTTTTTCTTTTTTTTTTTCAGAACATTGGCACCAAGTTGGTTAGTGGATGATTCCTGAACTTTTCATTCTTTCTTGTCCTCTTCTTATCACTGGTCTCCATGGATTGGGTATTTAGGGGGAGGGTGTGCTGAAATACTGAGGGAATGGTGAGAAAAAAAAGAAATGAAAGGATACAAAATGGTGATAGTGGCTATCTCCAGAGAGAGATGAGGATTGGATAGGACAGAGAGGTGGTGTGGTGATGAAGAGAGCGGTATGCTTTTGTATTATTTGAGGGTTTTTTTTTTTGTAATAAGAATTTGTGTCACGTGCATGCTGTCATGTCTGACCCTTTGTTACCTTTGGACTGTAGCCTTCTTTTAGGCTCCTCTGTCCATGGGATTTCCCAGGCAAGAATACTGGAGTAGACTGCCATTTTCTCCTCCAAGAATAAAAAGAATGTACTGATATATAACCCACGTACCTTAAAAAATGTTGATAGAGGTATAGAGGAAGTGGTGTGGTCAATACATTCTATTGACAGACCATTTAGTCTTTAACAAGATAGTCAATTCCCCTAAACATTCAGACATTTTCTAACAGCTCTGTGAAGTCCATTCTGCTTGCTGGATATCTAATGTGCAGCATTAATATTAATATAACCACCCTGTACAAGAACACAAAGCTGTTTTCAGTTTTCCCTTGGACCATCAAAGTGTTTTGGGCATTTATAAGCCATTGGCTGTTAACTCTCCCCCCAGGCTAATGAAATTTCAGGTCACCAGCCCTTCCCATGGTTTTTCTTCTCTAGAAGATGAGAGAATACACAAACACCCAATCTCAGTTAATGTCAAATGAAACTGCTTCCCTCCTAACCTTGTTTCAGATCCATCTCTACAATTCAACATTTCTTCCCCTATTAGTTTGCCTGAGTTAAATTGGAGATGAGAGAGCCTTATGATACGGAAAAGGACACATTTGGGATCTTACAGATCAGGTCTGTGAACTAAGTCAAGTGAACTTAGAATTATAAAGTCATAAGATCATAGAATTTGGTGTTAGAGGACATCAAAAAAATCATCCAGTACATGGATGTCATTTTACTGATGGAGAACTAAGGCTCAGAAAGGCTGACCATGTCTCAGCATTTGGAACTTGTGGCAGTGCATGCCCTTAGCCAACAGTCTGACATTTACTGCTAAACCTTCATCTTTATTTTTATGACCTCTGGACATGTAACACCTTCCCACACTTGTCTGAGTGGTTTTTAACTTGACTAAAGTCATCCTCTGGTTCAGATGGTGAGATGGATTCCTCCTTGTGAGTGTCCTGCCATAGCTCTGAAAGCAGACTATGCTCACAGTGCTTTTGGAATCATTAAGAAGCAGCACTAGTAATAACTGAAAATTGTCCCTTAAATTGCACCTCTGATTGGCTCCCAAACCACAGTCTGACCTAGATCCATACTTTCTTCCAATCTTCATAGTCCCCACTTCAATCTGGCAACCTATTTAGACCATGTTGTGTTGATGTGCTTCCCTGATATTTATAGAACAATCATGTCATTTTCCTTTGCTCTGAAACAAATGAGAAAAAACAGTCATATTTTCTCTTAGAACTCATCACTAAGATGCAGAGGGTTGGACCACTCGGCTTCCACACCAGTTAGAGCTCTTCAAGAGTTACCAGAGTCTTTTCTTAGGCTATGGTGAAAAATAAGTCTAAAGCTTCTGAAGGTATAGTTTCCTGTGCATCCTCAGGGGAGTCCATGACCTTAGCAAAGACTCAGACAGGGGCTGATTCTCTCTCAGCTGGAAGTAGAAGGCACCTGAAACACGAAACTATAGAACTACAGACACTCTGTCAGAGAGATGCATGTCTTGTGGGCCAATTCACCTGTGAATAAAGGTATTCCTTTTTGTAAAAGATACTCTGATGGGGACCATTTTAAAAGTCTTTATTGAATTTGTTACAAGATTGCTTCTGTTTTATGTTTGGATTTTTGGCCCCAAGGCATGTGGTATCTTAGCTCCCTGACCAAGGATTGAACCCATGCTCCTGCATTGGAAGGCGAAGTCTTAACCACTGGACAGCCAGGGAAGTCTCCAAGGTATTCCCTCTTTAACAAATAAGAAAGAAATGGGCATGCAAGCTGATGAACTATGCAATGCCCTCATTTACTCCTCAGAAGGCATTATTATTTAATTTTCTGAATAAGGGAACTTATAACTAACAAGGCTAAGTAACTTGACAAATTATGACCACAAAATTAGTAGCATAACCAGCATTTGAACCCAGGTCTTCCTCCAAACCACTCTCCATGGTCTTTTTCTTAAGAAATAATGACTACCCTTTCCCTGCCCATTACTGTGTCATTTTATGCATGGAGATAATGGGTATACTGCTATATTCTGATACAGTTATCCTCCTCAGGGTATAATCTGCAAAGGTCAGACAAACTCTGCCTGTGAATAGGGCACTACTTCTCTGAAGGGTAAGAGTCCCAGTGTCATTCATCCAGGAAAGACGCCAGGAACTGCAAAGGTGGGGGAGAGGAAAAGGGGTCATCTTCTCTTGACCTGAATCTGAGAGTACCTAGATGTCTGTGAACTCCTGTCAGCTAGTGGGTGTAAAAGGTGGCCTACCTACCCTAGGTGGAGGGAGACCAAAACCATGGAAGAAATTTCCAAGGTCTTAAATTGATATGATAGACCTTGAACACTCCTGAGATCAAGCTGTTACTTTGCAAAGCAGATTATCTGGGTATATGACACTCCAAATTCCCTCCCACAGCCCCCATGTCCTTAGTACAGTATGCACTTATTCAGTAAACATTTGATGAGTGCCTACTCTGTGAAATTCTGGAGACAGCTTCAGGGATGTGAAGATGACTAAGACAGTTCCTGCCACTGAGGGCTTACAGTCTATTGGAGGGAGATACTGTTTAAAGTGGAAAGGACTTTGGCATCAGATAAATCTTGGTTCGAAATGTCAGTTCTGCTGTTCTGGCTATGTGACTTTGGCTTAATTGCTTAATCTCCCTGAGCCATGTTTCTTTATCTATGAAGTGGAGAGGAGATATTAACACTCACTTTTCAAGGCTGTTTTATGAATCAGAAAAACATGCAAATGCCTGGGACATAACAGGTGCATAGCAGATGGTGGCTAGTCTTGTTAGTTTAGCAAAAACACTTTTAATAGAGTCAATATTTTCCCAGTGGAGAATTAAAACTAGTTCTAATCTTCCCTAGTAGCTCAGTTAGTAAAGAATCCGCCTGCAATGCAGGAGAACCTGGTTCGATTCCTGGGTAGGGAAGATCCGCTGGAGAAGGGATAGGCTACCCATTCCAGTATTCTTGGGCTTCCCTTGTGGCTCAGCTGGTAAAGAATCCACTTGCAATGCAGGAAACCTAGGTTCGATTCTTGGGTTGGGAAGATAGGATCCCCTGGAGAAGGGAAAGGCTACCCACTCCAGTATTCTGGCCTAGGTCACAAAGAGTCGGACCTGACTTTCACTTTCTTTCTTCTAATCTAATAATTTTACCTTGTAAAATATACAGTCTATTGCAGCAGGTATAACATGGTCTCATTAATGTAAAACTCTATTTCTATAACTCAAAAAGCAATTTTATAAAGTCGTTAATAATATAGACTGTTAACCAAGTAGACCTAGATTTAAAACATCTTATTCACCTCTGAGTTGTGTGATTTGGCCAAGTCAGTTAGCTTTCCTCAAACTTCTTAGCCCTTTGACATCAGTTTCTTCATATATAAAAGTGGATTAACATGCAGCTGTTTTAAAGGGTTAATAAACTGATTAGCACAGTTTCTGGTACATAGGAAGCAGCTAATAAATGTCATCAGAAAGTGATACCTGGAAGGCTGCCAAAATAGTTATCTCTAGATGGTGAGAGTTCAGGAGACATTCATTTTATTTTTTGTACTCTTCTGTATTGCTTGAATTTTTTTTTACACAAACACATGTAATTTTCATAAAAGCTATAATATAATAAAATTTTGTTAAAATTTACCTTCTGAATTCAAGTGTTTTGGTTTCATCTTTCCAGTACCACATCCCTAATCGCAATCCCAATTGCTGTAAAATGAAATGATTGCAGCAAAAATAATTAAAGGTTCAATTTAAAAGCAACACGTCATAATGAACTTTTAACAAAAATTCTCACTATTTGCTCTTTAACGCTATAGAGCCTTAAACTTTTTTTTTAACTTGATGCCAGGATTTTATCTTATTATTTCGGGGTGTAGTTTCAATAAACAGTAAGGAAGGGAGGAAAGTAGGGGAGAAAGGAAGGAAGGGAAGGAACAGCGGAAGGCTAAGAGTCTGCATCACCTCAAGGCTCACCATACCTATTTACCGATTAATTGGGACTTAGACCACAATAAACTGGTGCCCAAGGCGGCCCCAATCTTTCAGAGAAGTTAAGCACCTGTTGTAACCCTGACCCAGGCCTTCAAGAGCAAGCGAGCGTACTACAGGTTCGCGCTCTCCAAGGCTGCGTAGCTACCAGCCCGGAGCCTTTCCTCTCCGGGGGTCCCAGCCGGACCGAGCAGGACTACTTCCTCAGAGGGTTTCTTATTTCGCAGACAACCCATCAGAGGTGGTGAGGTGGAACTTCCCTACATCTGGATATCAGCGTGGGGAGTCGGAATTCAATTCTGACCGTTTGCTGAACACACCTCCATCATCTGGTTTTCGTAGACCACTTTGCCCAGGTCTCTTCGAATGCGACTCGCCCCAGGCTACGGCGGCGCCCCGCCCGGGGAGCGCGGAAGGCAAGGCCGCGGCTGAGGCAGTGGAGAGCGCCGCGGCCCAGCCACCGAGCCACTTCGGGCGCCGGAGGTGGGCGGGGGCCGCGGGGGTTGTCCTTCTACCCGCCGTGGGGTGGGGGTCGGCCGAAGCTGCACTTACATCCGACTGGGCAGAGTGCGAGTCCCACCGCCGCCGCCTCGAATAAAACTCCGGGAGAGTACTCATGGTCTCCCGCTGGCCGCTTCAGAGCGTCGCCTGGAAACCGTGGCTGGGGGCGGGGCTGGGGCTGGGGGCGGGACCCTGCTTCCTACGCCGCGGCGGCTGGTGGGCGTAGCTGCCGCCTCTGCCGACACCCTGGGCTGCGGTGGCGCACTGGCGTCTCACTACGAAGTTGCCCGAGGGTTTCTTCCTTAGGGGTCAGTTCTTGCCTTCCCACCGAGAAGCCAACCACGTCACTGGCTTTGTTTTTAATTAGAAAAACCAGATTGTTCCATAGGGAAGCTCCCTTTGTTCCCAAGTTTGCTAGCACTAAATGAAGTTTAAATCCAGGTTGGAGAAACAAACAAACAAAAAAAAATCCAGACTGGGACTAAATTAAGTGGGGTGGGGTAGGGGGTGGGGTGGCGTGGCGTGAGCGGCGCAACCGTGGAAATCAAGGTTTTTGAAACAGGGTTCTGCAGCATAACTAGTTGTGGAAGTCGTCTGAAGATATCCAAATGATCGGTGTTTGAGGATTCTTAAGGAGTAATGTATGTAAAGCATCACCTTGAATTAAAGTACTGAGAATTAGTGTTGCTGAAAGCAAAGAACCTTGGCTTGTGTCAATGGGTATTCAACAGTGTCTCTCAATTGTGTACAACTCTTTTGCAGCCCCCCATGGACTGTAACCCATTATGCTCCTCTGTCCATGGGATTTCCCAGGCAAGAATACTGGAGTAGGGAGCCATTTCCTTCTCCAGGGGATGGAACCCCCTCTCTCCTGTTTTGGCAAGTGGATTCTTAACCACTGAGCAACCTGGGGAAGTCCACGTTCAACTTCATTTCTGCATTTACTTTTCAAACCATGTGTCTCGTAATTTCTTCTTGCAACTGAGTTGATATGCAGATTTGTTTGGTATTTTCCCCCTTCTAACACTGATGGTAAGCAATGCTAAATGACACTATATGGCTGGGAATGCCTCATATATTCTGCTTTTGTTTTAGCCCCACAACTTAATTAGCATTAAATAGATGGTCAGTAAATACCTGATTTTATTTTCATATAAACTTTACATTGGTAGGATGATGGGTAACACCCATTTACTAGTTGGTTTCTTTTTTTTTTTCAGCTGCACTCTGCACACATGTGGGATCTTAGTGCCCCAACCAGGCATTGAATTTGGCACCCCCTACATCAGAAGGTGGAATTTTAACCACTGGGGAAGTTCCTCGAATAAACTTTACAAACAAGAGCAATAGACACTCCACTACTTCCCCTTAACCCCACCATCCTAGTCTACTTGGTAACACACAATCACTGTTCACAGTAGTATAAAATTGTAAACACCAAGATTCATGATCTACTCTCGAGTCCACTGCTGGTAACTGCTCCAATTGGCTCAGATATAAGGAAACCCACCAGTACACTGGCAATGTTGCTATGAGGCTATGGCCTTAGAGGCTGGCTTATTATAAGATGACTCATTTGAAAATAATTCACCAAAATATCCCAGTCATCAAATGCTTGTCTCCAACCTGGGTATTTAACTTTGGGTAGGAACAAGGAGAAATAATGAGTTGGAGCTCCAAAAAGGACCAAGGAAGAACAAGGACTCTGGGTGGTACCAATTTACCACACTTCCAGGAAACCTCTTCAGTTTAGCTAAATGAGTGAAGAAATGCTAATAGAAAACCAAAGATCTTTTATACCTTACCATGTTTAACTTTAGACTGTCTAATATACAAAACTAAAGGTAAAAATAAAGGAATTGAAAACCCAAAATAATGACCTACAAAAAAGTTACATGACAAGTTACCACAGCTTTGCCAAAGGGACATATTAATACTTAGAGGAAACCCTGGATAACTCTGAAGGTACCATCTTATATTTCTGTGTCACTAGACCCTAAGGAAAGAGGGAGTAAAAATTGTTTTCATGACTCTAAATCATTATTTTTAAAGTGACCCATTCATCTATTAGATTTTCCACCAGTTAGTTTTTTTTTTAATGACATTAGAAACTCATAACCTAATATGGAAATATAATTTTCTCTTAAAAAACAAAGTCATGATGCAATGAAGTAGGGGAAAGGTGCTGTCTAAATATTTAATAATTTCAAATGCCCTGTAAGGGAAATTTTTTTTTTTGCCTAATTAAGTTCTCAAGATAAAGAACTAAGAGCATATGACATAAAACTAAGTTGACTGTCTCAAATTTTAGGCCCAAGATATTAACTGGATATTATGCATATTTATACTATGAAAAAATCAGTGGACAGATTTTCAAAATGTTATAATTCTACTTTTAAAACTAATATATAAGAAACAGCAATACCAGTATTTGAATTAGCAACTCCATTTCTGGTGCTTATTTCTCCAATCTTCAATTCAAACATCCTAATCTGTACTTAAAGGGATGGAGGAAGAGTCTGACTTTTTCACTTGTTTAAGGGAAAAACATTTCAACATTAAGTAGCACACTATTAAATTTTAGAAATACATATATCCTAAAATATCTCCATCCCTAAAACTGTAAATACTTGTAAAAAGCTGTAAAAAGAATAAATACTGAGCTCTTCTTCTAAAGATCCATAATTTTTCTTGAAGGATTTAAATTTTATATCTAATTTTAATGCTTAAGGATAGTCCTTCAAAACAGTTGCCTCATACATTAAATATACAGAAACAATTGAATATTACTGTTGTTTTTTATATATATATATTCCTTTAGCAGTTGTCTTGTGATCATATGACTTTTGAGAGTCTTTAAAACTTCAGTTCCAATGTTCAAAAGCAAGACAAATATGCCTCACAACTTTTAAAAACTACATCCAATTGAAATACCTTATCATGAGCCCAGTATTTGATCTTCATAAGAGAGACCTTTTGATTTCATCTAGTCAGATTATATTCATGTTTAAGATTATACACAGAATATTTTTAGTTCTCCTTGACATATAGAATGTATTATGTATTTTAATATGCATGCTAAATTTAAAGATGTAAAGAGCACTAGTATCTCCTAATGCACAAGTCAGGTACATTAACTTCCATTATACATATAAATTAATATGATAAAAAATTTAGAGTAATCTTCTTTTGAAATTTCATACAACTGAAATACTCTGAACAATTTTGACAGGTGTCTAGATTCATTGCCTCAAAACAGGGACAATTATGTTAATTATACATTCAAGAAAGAAGAAATTAAGTCCCCGTTATGAGAAAGGTACTTTTTCAATCCCTAAGCATTCTATACATATTTCATTAGCTGTAGTCATGACCACTAGTCCCTAGCATAGTATTACTTTCAAGGGCAAGTGATGTTAATTATTCCTTAAACTGTAATTTAGCCTCATCCTGAACTCAAGTACTTTTTCCATTGTCATTTGACTATGGCTGATCTAACATCTGCTAAAGGGTTCCCATGAGTTATTGAGTTACCAACTTCACCTGACCCTGGAAACATGAATGGCTACTTTAGTGGCTTTTTATCTTAAGCAATATTTAGATCTAGGTAAATTTGAGAAGACAAAATTAAAAGCACTCAAGAGTTTTACAAATTACTTTTCAAAATAACAGAAAATGAAGTATCTACATAGATTGATGTTAGTGTTACAGCAAGTTACCAGAGGTCAGGCTATAGGATCAAACAGATTACCATTTGGCATTTTTCTGATCCTTTAGAAACTAATATCTTCTAAAAATGAGGTCTAGTCAAACTAATACCAAACTGCAATTAAAGACCCCACTATACTTTGTATACTTTGAAGTTAGAGCAAGGGATAAACACTCAATAAAGAACTAACAAAAGGTTAACAGAATGAGTATTATCTTGGTAAAAACTCAGGTGAAACGTCACTCTAAGGCTACTAATTACCTGACTCTTTTAATACCAAGGTAACTTGTCAAATATTTATATGATGCTATCTGCAATGAAATATCCTTAATGCTTCTTTGCTGAAAACTTTCCACTCTGGGAACAGCACTGAAAAACTCAAATTGTGTTCACCTTTCAAAGTGTAAGGAAAAACTACCTTTAAAAAAAATGTCTATTTTGAAGCTATTTTACAACTGCCTTTTTATCTTCCTCCCCCCACCCAAATGAGACTTGTTAAAAGAAAAAAAATCGTATGCAGAGTCAGCGCTTACGTGAGAGGACTGTGACCAAAGCTCAATACTTTTAGGCTATTTTGTTCTCTAGTTTTTATATTTCAAAAATTCCTCTCTCTGCTTGATATGGAAGAGTCTACTAGTAAGTTTAAAATTAGCTTCTATATGTCACTGTTATCTTATGAACAACAGGAAGTAAATCTACATCACTTGGAAGGAGATATTAAATTGTCTGTATGGTGAAAACATTAGATTAACTATGCATTTTCCAATTAGCTTTACTCAATTTCTTCCAAATTCTCCTTAAAGAGAATAAATCAGTACAAAGCAGATGAGTCAGTCCACTAAAATATAAACATGAACCCCCTTATTCCAAGGATGTGGATTTTTTTTTTTTTTTTAGGATGTGGATTTTTAAAGCTTAAGCCCAGGATAGTGAATTTCAAAGGGTTATATTTCTATCTGTAACAATCTCAAATTGGATATATTGGAAAATGAACAAGTTGCATATTGACAAAATATCTTGCAGTTTATCTTTTAAAAAAAGAAATATATTCTAGTGTTTAAGGCAGGTATTGAAAAAGCACTATGATTGTCAAATCAGAACAGCAACAAAAAACTATTTTCTTCCTTTACCATCCAAGTAATTTAAGTGCTGAAAACATATTCTTCTTGAATTTGCCATATGCCCAGAATTTGAACTGTTTTACTAGAAAAAGTTGACAAAAGTTTGAATTTGAACTCAATGTTAAGTGGCTTTAACCTTTGTCTGTTGGATCTTGTTTCAGACACCTGTATGCAGCAGAAAGCAAGCCTGTTTCATATTATGTTAGGCTATTTTCAGAAGACAACTCCTTTTGTTTACAGAAAGAATCTTTGTACTTAACCCTGGAATACAGCTTGTATTTTGCTGGAATATTCAGGTGGATTTTCACTTGAACATTTATGCCAACTCTGGTTTCTGTATTAAAAGGAGGGTAAAGTTTACCCAGATCTTCTCCCCTTAAGTTGCTGGTAATTCAAAGCAGGAAACTCATCTGAGAATTAGATAAGATTGAGTTAGACAAATTTCACCTTATACTAATACCTTATTTAGTTAAAGACCCACATGGGTAAAACAGTAAGAAAACAAAATTGAAAACTCCAAGACAGTAATTTTTAGATCAATTTCAGCTTTTTACTTTTAAATCTGTATTTATGCGTTTGCAAAAAGTATGCCTTTCCTTAACATTACTGCAATGTTCACTTTTCTCTTCAAGTAGTACATACAAATAAGCAAGTTAAGCTTCTATGTATTTTATTGTTACCAAACTTCTACAGAACCTGTGTGAAAACTTCAGGTTTCCCGTCTCAAATCTCCATGCACAAACTAAGATAACCAAAAAACGTTCAAGTCAGCAAACAAGCAAAATGCATTAAAGAGATACCTCAAATAATGTTTCTAAAAAATCAAACTTTAGAACTAATCTTGTATCATTAAACTAAGTTGTTGCACCTTTCCTTTTATATGCATACACCTGTTAAACACTTCCAGTAATAGATCTCGTATTTGGCACAAGGACATTTCAAAGAAGAAACAGAAACAAAAGGAAAAAAAAAATAGAAAGGAAAAGAGGTTTTTACGCTGTCTTGAGTGCAGGTTTAGTCCACTTCCTCGATGGTCGGTCCGCCGGATGCTCCTGAACCGCCGCCGCCGCCAGGGCCGCCTTGGTATAGTTTGCTGATGATGGGGTTGCACACTCTTTCGAGCTCTTTTTGCTTGTGTTCATACTCATCTTTTTCCGCCATCTGGTTCCGGTCGAGCCAGTTGATCACCTCCTGACACTTGTCGAGAATCTTGTTTTTGTCCTGATCGCTAATCTTGCCCCTCAGTTTCTCGTCTTCCACCGTCTGCTTCATGTTGTAGGTATAGGACTCCACAGCATTTTTGGCGGCTACTCGGTCGCGATTGGCCTCATCTTCCGACTTGTACCGCTCCGCCTCCTGCACCATCCGGTCAATGTCATCCTTGCTCAGACGACCCTTGTCGTTGGTAATGGTGATTTTGTTTTCTTTACCAGTGCTCTTGTCGGCGGCGGTGACGTTGAGGATGCCATTGGCGTCGATGTCGAAGGTAACCTCGATCTGGGGGACCCCGCGGGGCGCTGGGGGGATCCCGGTCAGGTCGAACTTGCCCAACAAGTTATTGTCCTTGGTCATGGCCCGTTCGCCCTCGTACACCTGCACCAGCACGCTGCTCTGGTTGTCTGAGTAGGTGGTGAAAGTCTGCGTCTGCTTGGTGGGGATCGTGGTGTTCCTTTTGATGAGCGGAGTCATGACGCCGCCAGCCGTCTCGATGCCCAGGGACAACGGGGTCACGTCGAGTAGCAGCAGGTCCTGTACGTTCTCTGACTTGTCCCCGATGAGAATGGCCGCCTGCACCGCGGCTCCGTAGGCCACTGCCTCGTCGGGGTTGATGCTCTTGTTCAGCTCCTTGCCATTGAAGAAATCCTGCAGCAGCTTCTGGATCTTAGGGATGCGAGTGGAGCCGCCCACCAGCACGATCTCCTGGATCTGGCCCTTGTCCAGCTTGGCATCGCGCAGAGCCTTCTCCACCGGCTCCAGGGTCCCGCGGAAAAGGTCTGCGTTGAGCTCCTCGAAGCGGGCGCGGGTGATGGACGTGTAGAAATCCACGCCCTCGTATAGCGAGTCGATCTCGATGCTGGCCTGCGTGGACGAGCTCAGGGTGCGCTTGGCGCGCTCGCAGGCGGTGCGGAGTCGTCGCACCGCACGCTTGTTGGGTACAATGTCCTTCTTGTGCTTGCGTTTGAACTCCTCCGCCAGGTGGCTCACCATGCGGTTATCGAAGTCCTCCCCGCCCAGATGAGTGTCGCCAGCAGTGGACTTCACTTCGAAGATGCCGTCCTCGATGGTCAGGATGGACACGTCGAAGGTGCCGCCGCCCAGGTCGAAGATGAGCACGTTCTTCTCGCCTCCCGCGCAGCCCTTCTTGTCCAGGCCGTAGGCAATGGCCGCCGCCGTGGGCTCGTTGATGATGCGCAGCACGTTGAGGCCCGTAATGGTGCCCGCGTCCTTGGTGGCCTGGCGCTGAGAGTCATTGAAATAGGCCGGGACGGTGATGACCGCGCTCTGCACCTTGCCCCCAAGGTAGGCTTCGGCAATCTCCTTCATTTTAGTGAGGACCATGGAGGAAATCTCCTCAGGGAAGAAGGTCTTGATCTCTCCTTTGTACTCCACCTGCACTTTGGGCTTCCCTCCCTCGCTCACCACCCGGAACGGCCAGTGCTTCATGTCTGACTGCACTGTGGCGTCCTCGAACTTCCGACCGATCAGCCTCTTGGCGTCGAAGATGGTGTTGGTGGGGTTCATGGCCACCTGGTTCTTGGCTGCATCGCCGATGAGGCGCTCGGTGTCGGTGAAGGCCACGTAGCTGGGGGTGGTACGGTTGCCCTGGTCGTTGGCGATGATCTCCACCTTGCCATGTTGGAAGACCCCCACGCACGAGTAGGTGGTGCCCAGGTCGATGCCAATAGCCGGGCCGCGGGCAGACATCCTGACTGAAAGACAGGCAAGCGACGTTAGACGAGAACACCTGGGGCAGAAAATCTGCGGCCTCAACTAACGGTCACCTAGCACCAGACTCCGCGAACGCAAACAGCGTCTCTCACTCCCCTCCCTCGGCTCCCCACTCTTATAGTCGCCTCCCCGCCGCCTTTTGGAAACTCTCAGAGCCAATCCGCTCTCGGGACCGCCCGCCACAGGCTTGCCGGGATCGGAGTGACCGGCCTGAGGCCCAACAGACTTCTAGATGGATGAGGGGCGGGACTCTGGGCCGCGCTAGGACGCGAGGGGCGGCCGTTATGCAAATGAGACCTCTCCCACGTGTCCAAGGCGGCCCGCAGTCTCCTCGGCCCCAGAGCGGCTGCAGCTTGGGGGCGTTAGGCTCGCGCCTCTGGCCAGGTGTACGCGCTTTTTCTTGATCTTCACCTTCCCTGAGGCGGGATTCGTCGAAGTCAGTTGGATTGGCAGGGCACGCAGCCAATGAGTAGCGCGGGCCCCCCAAGTAGGGCGGGGAGGAAAGGATTGGGGCGTGGCGCTGGGAGGAGTCGCGGAAGCTGAGCCGGGAGAAGGGAACCATCTACACGGTTCGCTCAGTTCTTAAATCCTAAAATGTCGATCAGTTACTAGTGTCACGGCCAACCTAGCTTGCTGGGGCGGGGCAATTCGTTCTGAGTTGGTGGCACCAAAGAACTAGGGCGAGAGCTGGCTTTTTTCTTCTGCCCGCTTGTGGGCGTTGGCTTGGCGTGGCCTGGGCGTGAGGGCGGCTACGGCCCCGGGAGGAGGAGGTGGGTGGGGTGGAGGAGTGAGAAATGAAGTTTCTAGGATGGGCCGTCGGCGTCCTGTAATTTATTTGCGTGCTTCGCAGCGTCTTGGTGTGAGCTCTGGGTATCTTATCTGGCGGGCGGGGGCAGCAGGAGACCGGGAGAGCTACCCGGGAGGCTGACCATTTTTCCCTGCGCGCAGCGGCCTACAGTGTGCGAGGGAGGCATGGGCGTGGTTGCAACTCGTCCCCTTTCTTGACCTCACTTTGCGTTTCCCCTGCTTGTCCTACCACTTTCAGCTTCCTAGTTTCATCTCCCTGTTCTCTCGCCACTGCTTTTGTTATTTTCCGTTTCAAGTGCTTTATCCGCCGCTTCAGAGTTCTCCGGGACGTCTGTGGTCAAACCCCACACGTTGAAGTATGAAATAACCCGGTCTCACGCCTCTCACGATTCTCTTAACCCAGGCGAGCGTAAACTCAACTGAGTGAGAACTCAAGAGGAGGTAGATAGAAAGCGCAATTCATTCTGTCGTGTTTAAGAGTAATATGGGATAGGTGATAGAAGCAGGCGCCTATAAACGGGCTCCGGAAGGAAGACAGTAAAAAAACAGCGAAAACACTTCACCTTATGTGCGGAAGCTGGAGACATTCATTCAGCTTTACCAAGTCCCAAGATGTGAGAGTAAGACTACGAGCGCAATAGTGTGTCTTCATGAGGTTGACAGCTCAATAAAGAGCTAAAAATAGCTCAAGAGAAGTGCCGAGGGGAACACAAAGGAGGCAGCGCATCCAGTAGGGGAAACTAATGTTCCCGAGGGCTTCCTGTAAGAGTTGACATGCCAAGCCTCTGACCTTTGTCATTCTTTGCATGGGTTGTAACATGGTCAAAGATGAGAGCAGTGTGTGCTGGGGGCAACTACAAGTTGAAGGTTGGCGTCAGTACATGAGGAAGGATACAAACGAGAAACAGTCTTTTCAGGTGGACGGGATATGCCATGATCTTTTCCCAGAGGCTATGGGGTCACGGAGAGAAGCATCTTTTGAAGGAAGTTAATGTATGGTTCATATCCAAGTTCTTTGAGACAGTGCTGGAGAAAAGTTTTTGAGAGAAACAAAAGATACCTATAATTTAAAAAATAACGTTGACAGAATCCTATAAAGTTAACCAGTGGATATTTAAGTTTCTTTTATCTAGTTGTGTATGTAATTTCCAATTTTTAAAAGTACATTTGCTATTACTTTGTAAATCTCATTTCACAATTCCCATCTCTCTTTCCATTAAAGAAGTTAGGGAAAAAATTTTAACTAGGAAAACTTTTTTAAAAAATTAGGAATACGAGGATTAAACCAAAAATTTCTATTGAAGTTACCTTAAATGGTAAGTACAGATTTCTTGATTTTATATTTAGAAATTTTTGTCTTTTGTGCAGTTAAAAAGGGGAGTTAAGGGAGTTAGTGGGCTGGAGAGCAATACACAGTCTATAAAACTAATATGTGATTTAGAGATAAGGCCCAACTACAACTGAAAGCAAAAGAGAACTGTGAGAAACACTTGACTCTTCAGATCTGTTGTATTCAGTCCTCACAAACTTACCTTAAGCAAAGCAAGATTGTGAAAAAGCAGACATGCCAATTCTTACACACAAAAACCAAAATTAGAGCTTCAGAAGGGAGAGGTTCTTTTGTATAGTAACTATACTATCTGTCTGCACGGTTATTACATTTTGCCATCTAACTACCACATTCGTTAGTACAGCTTTCTGAAACCACAGTAGCAATTTTGTCTGTATTTTCATTAGCTGTATTTTTTCTGCTGTCTTTTCACTCAGCAAATTGATGTTTCATAAGTTTCATACTTTAAATAGCATCCTGAGCCTGTCCCAAAAAGACACGATGTTTGCACTTTTATTTTATATGAAGTAAAATTTTGCAGTTCTGGAACATTATCATATACTGACCTTTCTTGGATTTTTTAATATTTTTCCTCATTTGTATTGATTAAAAAAATTTTTTTTTCTATTTTATGATTGTGGCTCGCAATTCCTTAAACTTGTGTCACATTAAAAATGACCAAACTTAGCAAACTTAAGATGAAATATGATATTCATCAACCTCAGTCATGGTGCGGCAAAACAGGTAAAGCCCTACCTACTGGTGGGAATGTAAATTAGTACAGTCTTTCCGGAGGACTATGTGACAATATTTTTTCTTTACCTTAAATATGACCGTACCCTTCATTTAGCATTACTATGTGGGATTTATCTTAGGGAGATAATGGAGCATGCAGGTATATTATTTATGATAACCGTGATAAAGGGGAAGTGGCCTAAATATCTGACAATAAGAAATAATTATTTGACCTAAGTCATGAATTAAAAATTGTTTACAGGATTTTCAGTGACACAGGAAAATGTTCTTGGTATAATTAAGTGGAAAAATTAGATACAACAGTTTTGTATCATCTTATCCTATATGTAGGATAATCATATATATGAGAATTGCATCAAAAATGGTTATCTCTAGAGGGTGGGATTATCAGTAATTTTTCTAAATTTTGTCTTTAACAGATGATTTTTAAAGCTTGGCTATCAGCATTCAACTGAAATACAATTCACAAATCCTATTATTTACATAGAAATTACTACTGATTTTCAACAGGTGAGATCTGTTTGGCAAATTATAAATACTAGGGTGTTTAAAAATATTTTTAAAATCCAAAGACTGAGATTTTACACAGTCTGGATAAAACAAAAACTATATGTGTGTCAAATTTTCTCTGATGAACTCCCCAAACCCAGAAGAGTACCTGGAACACAATAGTAATTCACTTGCTCAGTGTTTATGAAAAGTGATCTGAGACATGTTAAAAACTGGAAATTATAACTTCACTTTTTCCCTGTATTAAGAGGAAGATTCTTTGCTTGCCTCTTACATTTCTGTACTAAATAATACTGCAGAGACCAAAAATTGAAACAAATTCACATCTGAAAACACTTGTACCTAGAGATACAAAGATGAATGAGATGAGGTCTAAAACTGTGTGCTGGTGGTAGTAAGGCCTACCCTAAGATTACCTGAGCAAGAATACATTTTTTCCAGAATTACTAGTAAAGAAATTTACAGATATTCTGAAATCCTCTCATTCCTTACCCAGGCACAAGCTTCATAAAGATTGTGGATTGAAGAGGTAATGTTGCCCTGAAGAGAGGAGTGAGTCAGTAGCAGCCTGTAATTTGAGAACCTATCAGCAAACTGGAGTTCAATTTCTTATTATATTTAAGATCTCTATGAATACTGCCATTTTATAATTCTTAGGATGTACGCAGTCCCAAAACATTTCTCCAATCACCTGTTACTAAAATTTCAACATCTGTTTCTTTGAATCTTAAAACACTCAGTCTTTAAAAGTTCTATTTGAATTGTAGATACACAGTAATTGGAATAGGACACTACCTTGCCTTGTATGGAAGGCTAAGGGTCCCAAACCTGAAAGAGAGACTTTTCTAGAAAAGTGAATCTGTGTAATAGCAGACAAACTGTACCTTCTTCAGTTTTGTAGAGTGCTAACCTCGAAGACAAGCCTCTTGTAGAATACTCCAAAATAATTTAAAAGAAGTAAAAGTAAAAGTTGCTCAGTTGTGTCCGGCTCTTTGCGACCCCATGGACTATACAGACCGTAGAATTCTCTAGGCCAGAATACTAGAGTGCATAGCCTTTCCCTTCTCCAGGCGATCTTCCTAACCCAGGGATTGAACTCCTGCATTGCAGGCGAATGTATAGTCCATCAGGTCGCAGTCAGACTCGACTGAGCTACTTTCACAAAAGAACTGAAGGTGTTGTCTTATATATGGAGAATCAAATTCAATATACCATCATTGCTAATACTTATTAACTTCTGTGAAATTATGGCACTTATCTTTCAGAACTTACCTGAAATGAAGAGAAAACTCATTGCTGATCACTTGAAAAAAGAAAAACAATTTTTTAAACTCTCTAACGGAAATTTAACAAAATGAACTACATTGATAAGGTAGCTATTTCTCTGAATAAATTGTTATTTTGAGAAATAGATTAAGCCTGTAAAAGAACTAAATACTATGTCAGTGAATTTTTATAAATAATTACCTATTTTTATATTATAAGGAAACCTAATTTGTTACCGTCTGTTTGCCATGAGATAGTACATTTCTAGTCATTCTGTATTGAAAGAAACCAGGATTTGGAAATAAGAATTTTAGTTAATTCTTTGTGCACTTCTTAAGGTGCTCAGGAATACTGTAATTAGCTATATCAGATACTTTATTATTCTGGTATTATAGAATGAAAGGAACAGGTAACTTTTCAGCCAAATAATTTTTTAAAAAGAGCAAGGTTAGAAAAGTACAGTATAAAAAAAGTAATATAAAGACATTTTAAATTCTGAACATAGAGGAGGAAATTTTATTAGATAAAGCATGGATTAAAAAATGTAACAAAAATTCTGTATGTAACCCAATACTCCATTTTATACTAATATACAGAAAGTAGTCACATTATAGAATGCATTTATGTCATTTATAATTATTATGATTTATTACATTTGTAGTTTAGTACAGTCAAAATTTAAGTCATGTTTCTCTTGTAAATCTAATTCCACCAGTAATCAAAAATTGTTGAGTTTCTACTATATTGATCTGGCACCTTGAATTATTGATAGTATTCTTTTATCTTTACTGTATTCTGTTTACTTGTTAGAAGTCTGCAGTTCTACATGCTTGTTCATATTTCTAAAAGAAACTGGCTATAGGTTTTATTTTTTAGACTGTAACACTTCTCTAAGTTTATTTGTTTTATTTCTCTTAAAGCATATGAATTCTTATGAATTTGAAATCTTTAGTGGATTTCTTATCTCCCTTCTCACCCCTGTACCCAGTATCACATTTTAATTAACTTTTTCTGATTTTTTGTTAGTCTAATTATGAAAATATTCATGTTATTATCCTGCTTTATATCTAGAGATGTTAAATGACTTAAATTCTGCATCTGGCTCTTAAGTATGCTCTTAAGTTAGATCTCTTTGTGCAACTCCCTATTAAAACATTTGATGGCATGGGCATAAAAACAAAATAACCATTTCTGAATCTATACATCTTGATATTGCAGATGAAACAATAATGATTATGATGATGATATTGAGTTGACTACACAGTTAACCAAAACTACAAATATATTCACAATATGCAAATAATATGGCTGTAAGATTAGTATGGTTGATAAATGTATGTATATCTATCATCAGGTTAAAGTATCATCAAACATTTCTTTCTCCCATGAAAGCTTTTTTTAAACATGTTAACAGTTGTTTCATTCAATACTTAGTTGAATTTTGTCTTGAAATTTGAAAACTGAGAAGCATGGTATTATGTATTAATACCAAGAATAAATGTTTAACAGAAGCTTATTCTGCCTATTAGGTTACATTGCTAAGTTGAAAAGAAAATGTGACTTGATACATTCTTCTTGGCTGTCTGTGATCTGTGAATATATACCACTGTGGAAGTAATACCGCTTCTGTTTTTTCTTAAAGCAACAGACTTAAAAAGGAGCCTCATTAATATTAATAATCAAGATTTGTGACTGGTATATACAGTGGAAAAAAAAGAAAGGCAAATGTCACATTACAGTAAGCAATAACTAGATTATCTTGTTAAAATATTGGTCTTACACGTCTTCTTCTTTGTACCCACATCTTTTTATTTATAACCTAAACTACAGATTTGGGATGTAATTTTTGAAACTAACTACATTTCATGATATATAAACTGTAATTCCATTTAAGTTTAGAATTATATGGGTTTACACAGATAGGTGATTATCTTACTTTATAATGTATTTCTAATAGCCTAACAAGCCCTTTTATTTTAGGAGGGACTCTTGAAGATAATTAGCATATAAAGTTTCATTTCAGTGTAGCTTTAATCACTGATGTTGTTTTCTTTAGCAGATTTCTCACAAATAATAGGAGAGTCACTGTGAATCGATTTTGTCACAACAAAGTGATTCCAAAGTGATCTTTACTGAGTTTTCTTGGATCCTTGCAACTGGAACTTTTGGGGTTGATGAGGTTTGTCAGAAGACAGAAAAGATGGTGTCACTTCAGATCTGATATTCCTGGGTCTGGACTTAAAGATTATCTGTTGATGATTGATTCTTCCCCATGTCCTCTCCAAATTCAGATCTCACTTCTCCAGAGGTTTAGAAGGCCCTATTTGACCACTGCCACACAGAAAAAGACAAAACTCAAGAAAAATAATATTACAAGTTGACTGCTCTACAAGATACAACATAAATCTTAGTTAGGTCAGAATTTCACGACTTTTGGCATCAGGCCAGCACACTGTTAATTGAACCAAAAATGGGAACAAAAGCACAGATCCTAAAACTTAGATTTAATTTCTTCCCCAATATAATTCACTGTGCCCTTTAAATATAAGGTATTCTTTTCACCAATATAATTTTTCAGCATTGGGGCAACTTTTTCTTACAAGGGCTAGCATAGATTGGGTAGGACTCATAAATATGAAACAAGAGGAGGACAGTCAGGTAAAGTAGGGAGGAAGGAAGCAGTTAAAAAGTATTTTCCTTCAAATAAAATAATTTACAATGTACTTGTTAATAGCAAATCTCTGAATGAAACAGACATCTAACAAGTTCATGTTCTTTTTATGAGTGCCTTCAGCCATCAGGCTAACATTGTTCTCTTCAAATATTGTTTTACACTCTGCAAATGGAAATAAAGTACACCCACACACAAAAAGGAGTGTTCCTTCAAATTCCTAAGTTCATAGGGCTCCTAACCTGCCCCAATGATTCTGGGTAGAATTTTATTTTTTGCAGCAATGATTTGCCCTAATTTTGTAATAAAAGAAATTCTTTTTATTTTTTCCACATCAAGGAACACATAAGCATTTGAAAGAAACAATGACTTTCATAATCAAGATGTTTATATTTCTGTCATCTAAAAATGAGCTCTGCTGATTCTGCTATAAGCAGTTGGTTTAAGTAGAATAAAAACAACATAGTAACTTTCAAAATAAAGCTTAACTGGGATTTCATGAAATGTCTACTGATTCTTTTCTCAGATAGGTAAGTACAAAGTTATTCAAATGTTCGAATGTAAAATTATTACTATTCCTGACTCATGAAGTCATGTTTTTTACATTTTTGTCATCCTTCAGCCTAGAGTTTCCTGTTTTTACTTATTATAGTGGTGATTAGTACATGGATACATTTAATTCAGAGGCAAGTACTGAATTATAATCTTCATACAATCTTTTTCTTGCAAGTAAGATGATAAAAAAAAATTATAAATGGCTTCCTGCCCACTAGTGGTCTGTGGTGGAATTTGACAGAAAGGATGAAAAATTTTGTCACTAATAATGGACCTTAGTGATTTGGTTCCCCTAAATATAGTAAGGGAGCAACTTAAATGGATTTAACTTCTTAATGCTAAGTCAACTAAGCATATGCATATAAATATGTAAGTGCTATTAAACTGGTTTAAAATTAGCATAAATTTATAAGCTGCTATTTTCATTTAGTTTATATTTACCAATATTTAGAGACAAACATTCTAAATCCTTGCACTTTCACCTTTTGCCAGCATATAAATTTATAAGTAGCTAAATTTCACTTGGTCTAGACTTGACCCATATGTTGGGGCTTTCCTGGTGGCTCAGTAGTAAAGAATCCACCTGCCAATGCAAGAGACACAGACTCAATCCCTGGTTCAGGAAGATCCCCTGGAGAAGGAAATGGCAACCCACTCCAGTATTCTTGCCTGGGAAATCCCATGGACAGAGGAGCCGGGAGGGCTAGTCCATGGGGTCACTTAGGGACTAAAGTGACTAAAGTGACTCTTAGTCGTGACTAAGAGTCATGACCTAGGGACTAAACAGCAACAATCCCTATGTTACCATGGAGTATGTCCTTGAGTTTGATAGAAGGCAATGAGAGCGGGCCACCTAAAAGACTGTGTAGATATTTTGTATGGAATCTTCACCTTCTCCTTCTTCTAGTCTCACTGTTTAAAAAAATAGCATTTGGCAGATGGTAGAGAGATCATTGAAGTAGTAGGCTTTGTTAAGTAACAGAAAACCTATTGCATAGGTTTTAGAAATCAGGCAATAGATGCATGAAATTAAAATCTGATTAGATGGGGAGGGATGTTGTTTCACTTAAACCAGTAGACTCTTCCATTTCCTAAAAGTTTGCTGCTAGGTTAGGGTGGATATACAATTGTTGTTTCCTGAAATTATCTTTCATTTCTTTTACAAGTAAGATTGTAAGTTTACAGTAGAAATACATAGATTTTTTGGTAAATTGAATTATAAATAGCTAGAATAACTTGTTTTTAGACAGACTTAGATTGCTCTGTAAACTTTAATCCTTATAAAATGATAATTAGGGATTTTGTTTTTAGCCAAATAAATGAAGAATTTCTTATCCACATCACCTGCTAAGGCAAAAAGAGGAAAACATTCTGGGGTCCTGATTTGAGGAGGGCACAATGGAGATTTTCAAATGATTTATCACATAACCAATAAAAGGAAATGGTGACTGGTCAGAGACAATCATAACAATCAGGAATAGGGAAAACAGCGGCAAAACATCACAGAGGTAGAAATATAAAGGAAAATTAAAACATAAAGAGTATTTAATATTCATTTCTAAAACATCATTCTAAATTATCAAATAAAAATGTTTTGCTTCTGACTGATATATTTTCACCTTATTCAACATGATCATTTAGGTACCACTATTACCAGCTATCTTACCAGGCACAGTAGATGACAGATGATGAACAAGGAGCAAAGAATCTCATAGGAGCTCTGTCATACGTGTTCCCTGAACTGAAAAGGCTTTTCTTTGTAGTTCTTGGTTGGTAAAGTATGTTGCTTAATGGTTAAGTACAGGAATGTAGGAATCAAATAGGTCTAGTTTCAAGTTTCAGTGCTAGTATTTAGTTTCTGTATGATCTTAGGAAAAAGACTCAGTCTCACTGAACCTCAGTCCCCCATCTGGAAAATTATTGATAGAATACTTACCTCATAAGGCCATGAGGACTCATTAAAATTACATCTGTATCAAGTGTTTAGCAGAGTAAAAGAGTGTTAATGAAATGGATGATGGGATTACTGAGAGCCCTGGGATGGATAGTTCATAGATTTCCAAATCTGGGCCACAGTTCTTAACACCAAATCTAACTTTACTTGCCAGTTCCCTGGCATTCGTTCTATCACTTTGTTTACTGCACCTCAGGTATCAGGAGATAGGAGACATTCCACAAAGGTATGTTCCCACGGAGCCTTTTGGTACCCTGGAATCTTAGGCATTGTCAAAGCCTTCAGAGCACTTCTATCACCGAGAAGCAAATGTCACAAAGGAGGTTGGGGTGGCGATGAATGATGAGGAGCTAATCAAAGTAGATTAATGGCGAAAAAAAAATGTGTAACTCATAAAACCCATTTAGAATTAAATATACCAAACTACTTTATTCTCAACTATGTATGCATATACATATTCAGGTTTTTCTCCTGGTTGGTACTAATTTAGCATTTTGTTAACAAGTTTTATGTTTAGCTTACTAACTGTTCACTCTGGTTCTTTGGGGAATTTTCCACAGATCAATTAAATACAGTTCTTTTTAACTAGTGATATATAGGAACATGTATTGTTTAACCAGAGAAAGTTACAAACCACCACCAGCTTCTCTTCCCACTTTTTATAAACATTGGAATATTATCTCACATGTTTATGTGTGGCATGTTCATAAAAGCTGTTTCATTAGACATTCTGTAGCTCTAATGGAATTAATCAGATTATTTTAGCCTATCAAATTCTATACTCACCTCACTTTAACTCAATGTTTCTGTCTCATATTTTTGTTCTTAACTACAATACTTGTGATTTTTACTTAAGTCTATTATTTTTCCTTTTAATTGGTGCTGACTACTCTAGAAAACTCTGTCCTTATTTTAATTATTTAATTTTTGTATCTAGCCCTTGGAGTGCTTCTTTTTGTTTATACCCAAACTTTAAACTTTAGCCATTTTACTCATGTAAGTCATTTCTCTGAATATTCTTACTTTAAAAATACAGGATTAAGACAAATTTCTGAGTCCTAATCCACTAATCTCTGAGATTCTTAGTCCTGTTTACTAAAAATTATAAACATCTGAGCTGCGCTGGAATTGGTGGCAAGCTTGCTAAGTACTGAATCCATTCCCCCAAAATTTTTGCTGGAGAACAAAAGGCCCTTTAAGAAAGACCGTATTTGTAAAAAAAAACAAGATTCCACATATACCTATCTAGATTTCCCCTTCATTTTCACATTTGGAGCCTAATCACTTAAATGACAAAGACAGTAGGAGGAGGCAACATCCACAACCTTGATTCACTGTCTTCATAGCACTGGAGGGCAAGAAGCGGTATTAAGTAGGCATAGCTCTGTAGCTCCACTCCGAGAGAGGGAAGAAGAGAAAACTGGGCTAGAGAGGTGTTGGATAGTTTTCACTCCCCCTAGTTTTAAAAGGAGGCATGTAGTCATTAAATGAACTTTTTCTTAATAAGGAAAATTATACATATACTCAAAGAAACTTGTACTGCCTGTAGCTAGCTGCAAAACAACAGGCGTGTGTCCTGTGTAACACACAGGGAAAACACATCCTGCGGTGTGGCTTTGTGAAACTATAAACATCTCAGTTATGTAAAATTAGAGATTATGTTTAATGTTTATATATTTGCTTGCTAATTGGCTGTTAGTACGTGTCTAAAACTAAACCCCTTTCCCAATGGGTTAGAAATCATTTTTTACAGAGTGACAGTATTTAGAAAGGCGGGTTAGAAATCATCTTTTACAGAGTGGTATATTTAGAAAGGTTTCTGTTCTTTAGAGGCTTCCCAGGTGGCTCAGTGGTAAAGAATTCACCTGCCAATGCAAGAGACATGGGTTCAATCCCTGGGTCAGGAAGATCCCCTGGAAAACGAAATGGCAACCCACCCTGGTATTCTTGCCTGGAAAACCCCCTGAACATAGGAACCTGGCCGGCTACAGTCCATGGGGTCGCAAAAGGAGTCGAACACAACCTAGGGACTAAGCAACAAACTTGTTCTTTAATGGTGGGAGAGCCTTTGCAATAGAGGCTTTGAAGAGGGTCATGGAAAAAAGTGGTTCCAAAGAAAGTGATGTCTACTAAGATGCTATATACTTTGGAAATTTGGTTTGAGAGCTTCTCTCTATTCTCTGATGGTCTCTGGGTTTGTTACAGAACTTTTATCAGGTTTCTATCAGTAATGTATATACATTTTTCATTTTAAGTTGCATTTCAGATTTAATAACTTGATAAACTACTGTAACCAAGAACTAAGATGAATCATTTTTCTTGCTTTTTCTGCTATATGGCTTTTTAAAAAAAATCCTGATTTCTCATTTGTCTTTTTTGTGTATTTCCCCCATTTCTACTTCCCATTATTTTGTTCTAATACTGTATGGCTCCTGTACTATTTCAATTATTACGTAACACCTCAACATGTCCTCACAAATCTCTGAGCACACACTCTGGTCTTTTCTTTCAACTAAATCTATGCTAGTCAATATGTCTCTCAGTTCTCTTGGCAAACTTGTTCTTTTATGCAAATTGTATACAAAAATAGGACTTGCATATCTTTAAAATGTGATGTAAACAAAAAGAACAATACTGTTAAATTACTGTTCATAATCACAAAATTATACTTTTAAATATAGGAGTTATTTAAAATCCCTTTCATTATGAGACGGGTATTACTATGCAAGTAATTTACATTAAAACGCATTCTATCCAACAGATGTGTTGATTTGTGGGCCAGTTTTCATATGTAATTCATGTAGACCTCGTGTCAGCAACAACTAACAGTAATACTACTTTATCTAAAAAATGATAAACTGTCTCCATTCATATATTGTTATTATTTTATAGTCCTCAAATTTTATAGTCCTTTACAGAAAAAAAAAAAGCATGTTGATAAACTAATTTTCCATAACACATTTTCTCCAAATCTTAGTATAAAACACAAGACATGTTTTTTTTGCACACTCTACTTTTATAGAACAACCAGATTTGTGATTGATTTCTTTATTAGATTTATCAATATACATGGCAGCTTTCTCAAATCTCAAAGTAAGTTCCAAAAGTATGTCATTTTAAAGGTGAAAAATCATTTTCCTTTAGATGTCATCTTCCTAGAAAGCTATTAAATTCTATTTATAAACAAAAATAACTGATAAGCTAACACACTTTAGAAATCAAAATATTTTAAATTATTTTAAATGAATACAAGATATGCTTTTTTAATTAACTATCATAGTTAAATTTAATATCACAAAACAAAATGACTTGTCCCCACTAATTTGTCAAGTGGAGTAAAGTCATTGGGTTTTTACACTTAATATAAGTTTTAAATGTGATTATTAAATGATAATATTTTATCAATCATAGGAAATATTCATCTATAGGAATTTCCTTAGGTCCATCAATCTTTTTAGGCCAAGTTTGAGCCCATGTCAACCTTCAAGGTTAGATTCAGCGCACCTAACCTGCCTACTAAGTTTTCAATTTAAGAATATGAATTTCACTGGTAAGACAGGGAAATAAACAGTGGCTAAATCATTGTTCAACTTACAAAAAAAAAAGCTAAAGTAAATGGGATAGTTTTAAATAACTACTTAAAAAAAATTTTTTTTAATTTAAACAGGAATGGCCAATGATATTGGGTTTAAATTTTCACAAGGTAGCCTTAAGAAACAAAATAAAATAAAAATTGTGACATCATCACCTTATCGATTAAAAAAAAACAACCTAAGCTTCAATAGTCACTGAAGGGGTAACAACCACTTGTAATCTACATTTAAAAGTAATTTTAATCATAGCTAAAACAAACTAAAAACAAAGAATTCTATTAAGAAATAACAAAAATGATAAACATTTAATAACACCTAAAATGTAGATACTTAAGATCCTAAACAAAAATATTAAAGGTAAAGGGCCTTGAAAATTTTTTTCAGCAAGTCATCTTATAAAATCATTTTCTAAATAGCTCATATCCTTTGCTTTGGTGTTTTGTCTCCTATCAGCTAAACATTATACAGTAGAAAATCCTTATGTTCTTTTCAAATGCTTGGCATTATAATGTGATCTCATATCTTTCCTCAAGTTAAATTTTGCTCCACATATTCCACATGTATACAGATGAATATCCATGTGCTGTTCCAACTGTTCATTATTTGGAAATATCTGAAAGCAGACCTGGCATATAGTCTCACCAGCAGATAAATGAGAAATCATATGCCGTACATGGTCATGTTTTCTGAAGTTGCCTTGATCACAAATGGAACAGACATACCTGGCCATGCCTTTGTGCATGTCATTGTGCAGGCGCAACTGACGTTCTCTTAAAAATTGCTTCCCACATGTCTGACAAACAAACTGTTTTTCCTTGGTATGAACAGTATAGTGTTCTCTTAAGTGACACCGCTGATAAAATCCTTTCCCACACAGGTTACAAAAATGCTTTCGTCTGTGATCTCTTTCATTCTCTTCCATGATGGCACTCTTAAACATGTCTTGGTCTAGGCAGCTAGACATATGTTCAACCACTAGATTTTCAGTTTCAAATCGTTGGCCACAATTAGGACATCGAAAAGGACAGGCAGAATGTTTAAATAACTGCTTTTTTTGGATACTGTTTATCTGGAAATGATTGTCTCTAAAGTCATCCAACATTTCAACAAACATATCCCTTATTTCTGACTGTTCATCAGGATTCTCTTCCATGTCCATCTTCTCCTCGGCATTTCCTAACCCATTCATGGTCAGATCTTGGGGCTCTCCACATCTCTGGGCATGCTCCTGAAGCTGTCTACCCTTCACAAGTATTTGTCCACATTTGCCACATGCGCAGATATTTTCGATGTGTTTGGCTAAGTAATGAGATGACAGGTCCTCCTCAGTTATTGTGAGCCCACACAGCTCACAAGAAGCATTTTCAGTGTCTTCTTGTACAGGGCTGCTGTTGTTCGGTGGCCTCATATTTTCTAAACCACCTCTTTCATCAGCATTTATTGACATCCGAGGTTTTAGAGTTTTCCTACCACTTTTTTTAATACTGACATCTTCTTCAACGTAGTATCTATAAAATGGCTCTTCAGCTTCGTCTTCTAACTCATCATTGTCAGTGGACTCATTACAGTCTTTATCAGTAACTTTAATAATGTTAAAGTCTTTCAGTTCATCTGTAGGAATATCCTCTGGTTCCATCTTAATGATGATTCTTTTCCTCTCAGCGGCTCTGCTCTTTTCTTCACTGGCTAGTTCAGACTCCACTGTACTACTTTTTCTGCTTCCAGTGGTTGAAGCTGAATCATCAGCAGCCTGACTTGTGTCTCCTCTGTATTTGTCTGTCTGTGCAGAAAAGGTTTTAGAAGAATCCTTTTCACTAAATTCAGCTTTGATATTACTGTCTTTTCCATCTCTAATATCCACTAATCTATGATAGGATCTTGTGTTTTGGTATGAATGTCTGTTAGTACAGGTTAGTACATGCTCATCTAATAGTTTTTCACAGCTAAAGCCAAATCCACAACTATCACAGGTAAAACTCCGTCCAAAGCGTCGTGATACACGTTCTTTTGGAGTAGATAATTTGGACACAGAACTCTTTTTACATACATCAAATAATGGCTCAGGAAAATTACCTAATTGCAACGACTCTTCATCAGGCTCTCTATTATGTGGCGTATTCACTGTTGAACTTGGCTCTGCACACCACCTATTAGCTTCACTGCCATTTCTAGCCACAGTGTCTTCATACATTCTCACCCCAAATATCATTTTGCTGTTCTGTTTGCTAGAAGCAGAAGATGAACATTTTGAACTAGAACAATCTGCATCCTGTATGTCTTCTAAGCAGTCAGGAACATTGTACAGCTGTAGGTAGTTCATTGCCACTTTAAACTGTTCAAAACTGGAAGGAGCTGTCATAATTTTTCCTAAATACATGAACTGCAAAATGAGATCAAAACACTCAGCACTAATTTTCATGTTGCTGAGATTCAGTTGTGCAGTACTATGTTGATGGTTCATGAAAAACATTCTAAAATAGGAGCTACAAGCAGCTAGAACTGCTTTGTGTGCTTGAAAGTAAATGTCATCAATTGCAATACAACAGTCACAGAGAAAACCCCATTCCCTTTGGTTGTTTAGCTGCTGAAGGACGTAGCTGCTGTGGCTGGGCTTTGCCATCTTCTATTAAAGACCTATGTAAAACAAAAACATTGAAGTCAGACAAGAAATCAGAAAAGCACTTGGAAAAAAAAAAAGCTGTCCATTCTAATGTAGTAAAACTCAATTAATATATACCTGAATCATTTTTAAAACTTAAAGGTGAAGATACCCAGCCATTTATTCAAGCTTCTCATTTTTATTTTAAGAAATACAAGCAAAGGTATCAAAAGCAAAACCCATCATTTTGGTTTCTTTACAACTCGAGGAGGAAACATGCAATTTCAAACTAAATTTGAAAGGAAAAAAGACACTAGTTTTAAAGTACTTGAAGAATACAAACAGTGAAAACAAAATAGCAATTTGAATTTAAAGTTAGTAATTCAATTGGAGAATATTAAAAACTCTTCAGGTGATTGATATAAAGGAATTATTGCTCATCCTTTAGTGTGATACAGGTATTTTGGTTGCGTTAAAACCATCGTATCTTTTAGATACACATACTGCTGTGTTTACTGATGAAATGATGCATCTAAGATATGCTTGAAAATAATCCAGTGGGTGGGTAAGGGGCTATAAATGATGTAAGATTGGTCCTGTGGTGATAACTATCGAAGCTAGGAGGTAGGTATAATTCTATTTTTGTATGTTTGAAAGTTTCCTTAGAAAAATTCTACTCGCTAAAGCTTATTAGATTACATGCAAATGGCACCAAGCAAACAGGTTTGGTCAATGCCTGTCTCTTAATTTATTGGAGAAGGAATAATTCTGTATAAAGAAACAGGGGACCTATTTGGGAAGGAGGTATCTGTCCTTAGATTGTAAATTTTTCTTCATTTTTCAATCAGTAAAAAAAGATACACAAAAGTAACACATGCTTATTGAAAAGAATTAAAACATAAAAGTACATAGAATAAAAACACACCTTAGGTCACATACCTCTTTCCAGAGATAACCTCTCCAATTATTTATCTTCAAATCTGTTTATATTTATGCATACAGAGTCAACAGCTATTGAGTACCCACTACATGCCATACAAATAGTTTTGCTTTGGGTTTTTAATTTTTTTTTTAACCTAAATGATATTGTACTGTATATACCTTTCTGCAACTAGTTTTCTTCACTTATCAACATATAAATATTTTTAAGGTACAGAGCTGATGCTGAATAAAGAGAGGAGCACTGTAAGTCCAATTATATTACAAAGCTAAAGTAAGAGCCAATTTTAGTCTTAATTTTTAACCTGTATAAATAAAACTTCAGACTCTATCTTCTACTTGAAAACAAGTTCCTATGCAATTTGAACATAAAAAGAACAACTGAACAAGCTGTTCAGAAAAATAAAACATTCATGTCTCCAAACCTTTTAATCTCTGCAGTGATAATTAGAAATTATCTAAATTTGCTTATTTCTACTTGCTTTTTATCTGTTACAAATCACATGTGGGTCACATACCCCTGTCCCCCACTGCCTAAAGATCACCCTGATTGTTTTTTTCCTGCCTGAAATCAGAGTTACACAGTAGGGATGTGCCCCTGGTGAAATGAAAATGGCTTATGAGACCTACTGCCATCTTTAAATTGAAACGTCTGGGCCTCTTCTATAAGCCAGATCATGTAGTATTACAAGTAGGTATATTCAACCTTGTGTAACTCAGACATCTGTACCAGAATTGAGTCATGTTCAGTATGTAAATATATACAAAATGCAACATATGCTCAGATATTTATCAGTGTGTTATTTCTAACTCAAAATGCCTGGTAATAAGGGAGTTATAAGTAAACCAAGGTAAATCCACTTCCTAAAATTCACTGTCATGTGGCCTTTATGAAAATTATATTTATGAATGAAGGCTATAAAAGAAAATGAGAAAAGTTTTCAGGATGGAAAGTCAAGTAAATAACCACAGACTATGAAGTTATATAAAAATTACAGCAACATAAAACAACAGCAACAAAACCTTATTTAAAGAGTTAAAACACACATTCACACCCAAGTATTGACCTCCAAGCCCATTTTATGTAGGATGAGATTTCTAGGTCTGTAGACATTTTACACCAAGGGTCCCCAACCTCCAGGATCTAATGCTTAATGATGTGAGGTGGAGCTGTTAAAGTGCATAATAATAAAGTGCATAATAAATGTAATGCACTTGACTCATCCCAAAACTACCCCCCTGGCCCCAGACCTTGGAAAACTTGCCTTCCACGAAACCGGTCCCTGGTGCCAAAAAGATTGGGGACACCACTGTTCTACAGGATTCAGAGAGACCTTTAATGAATAAAGAGGTAGAAGGATAGATATTATCTCAAATTTTCTTCTAATAATAAGAGTTGTTAAAAAATGAAACAAACTCATCTAGAGGATAATGACTGTCCCATCTAGAAGCAGGGAAGAAACTTTGTTGAGGGCAGTACAGTGAAAAGGGCACAGGCTTTGGGTCAGATAGGCCTGAGTTCCAACTTAGCTTTGCCACCTTAGATAACCTGTTTGTCCTCAAATTGACCCCAGATTTTCTGAACTGTCAAAGTGGGGATAATTACACCTCAAAGATCGTATCAACATGAGACTTCACAGGAGCCATGTGTGAAATGTTTAGTGCTTGGCATGTGATAACTAATGGAAGTAATAGTGGCAGTTGTGATGGTGGTGATGCTTCCTTAAGCACAGGAGGGAAGTCTGACTAGACAGTCCTAAAATTTCCTTCCAAATAAGAGCCCATCTGTGTGAAAGCCAGCAGTTTATCTGTTAAAAGTTTCAGGTTTAAATGTCTTATGATTGAAATAATGACATTAAGAGCCTAAAAGCTCCAAAGACCTTTCTAAACTAAAGGAAAAGCAGTTTTATGGTCAGCAACCAAAATGAATGCAGCCGCATAGACCAATATGATAGGCACATCTGTAGCTACAGTTATAATTCACTTAAATTATTGAACATACATTCTGTGTTAAACAAAACACTAAAACAAGTAAAAGAATCAAGAGCACTTTAACACACATTAACTAAAAAATCTGTTGAGTATTTTGGTGTACCAGGCACTGTATAAAGTACTGAGAATCAGCAACAACATAGGTATCCTATAATCTCAAAGATACATCACTGAGGGCAACTTATTGTTCTAGATGAGTTACTTCACTCAACACATACTCACCTACTATGCACGAAGGCAACGTGCCACGATGGACAGAACAAGGGCTCAGGGTCCAACAGACCTGAGTATGAATCCCACCACCACGTCTCTGTATTTCTATCTTCCCCTCATAAATTAATGCTAACACTACAGCTCTTAGGCTGATCTAAAACTGTAGTTTCCACAACATTACAACCAAGTTCTGAGTAAAGCTGATTTTAGGGAGAGTAACCTTTAATAGCAATCATTCACTCATTAGCATGAACAACTCTCTTCTTGTTACACCTCATTCAGAAAAGCTTTAAGGTGGCTTAATAACACCAAAACAAAAACAAACAGAAAGGCAGGAGGTGGAATCATGGGTGAAAGATCTAAATTCCTGTGAGGCTTTTAGCTTGTTATGTCTTGAGAATAATTTTTGCATTAAAATATTTATTTTCACTCACTTTTATTAAACAATAGTTTCACTTGGAGATGCGGCGGGGGTGGGGGAAGGAAAAAACAAGTTTCACTCAAATTCCAAAAGAAGTTTGCTTTTTTTTTATATCCTTAATAATGCTACCCAAAAAACACAGTGAACTTTGTTACAGTAAAGCTTGTTACCTGTTTTTAACAAATGTTTAGATTTCAATTCTTGTTTTTATAATGACATTCTGTGATTGCTTTTGTTTGTATATTACTAGCTGCATCACTGGTAGAGCAAGTTTGTACAGCTACAAATCAAGGGCTGGGGTTGAGAGCAGAAACCAAAGTTGATCCAAAGCCGAGGGTTCTCCCAAGGCTAAAAGGAAACCCAGTGTGGATATAGTTCTCTGGAGGAGTAAGGAGTTAGGTGATGCACTGGATTTTTAAAATTTTAGTTTGAAAAAGTTTAACCAGCTTTCTCAAATTCAAAACCAGCTATCAAGCACATTAAGAATATTCAGTAATTTAGATACTCAGAGGCTTTTAGAGTTTAGAGATCTAATCTGGTCCAACAGGCATATTTCGTAGGACAGTGATATAGTGCTGTTAAAACAATGTATCAAGGAGGGCTAACTGTGGTAAAGTAGGAACTGGGATTCCTGACCACCTAGATGGTACTAACCACTAAACAGTGTGTTACTACATACTCCTTGAGGCGTGCCCTTCTGCAAAGAATAGTCAGCAAGGATTGGGCATGAGTCCTCAACACGAGATTTATTAAGATCCTTGCACAAGAAACTATACAATATCTGAACTCCATCTATAATGTGGTTGTGTCTGTATATGTGCATCTAGTCTTATTCAGTAGATGTGTTCCCTAAATTATCTTTAAGCTATTTCAGTAAATTTCTCACTGACATAGTAAGGTTTCAGAAATACTTTTCCTTCATTGCTAAATCTCTTAAATGGAAAAAAAACATTTTTGCTGGATGTTTTTTGTTGCCTTGCTAAGTCGCTTCAGTCGTGTCTGACTCTTATGCGACCCCATAGACAGAAGCCCACCAGGCTCCCCCCTCCCTGGGATTCTCCAGGCAAGAACACTGGAGTGGGTTGCCATTTCCTTCTCCAATGCATGAAAGTGAAAAGTGAAAGGGAAGTTGCTCAGTCATGTCCAACTCTTAGGGACCCCATGGACTGCAGCCTACCAGGCTCCTCTGCCCATGGGATTTTCCAGGCAAGAGTACTGCCGTGGCTTTAGTCAAATGATAATTTAAGGGTTTATAAATAAGCCTATAAGGTAAATGAAAAAGTTAACTTAAAGGAATTTTGGAGTGACTCCTTCCGTAAGGCGAATAACCACCCTCTAATCTGTGTCACTGACTTGCATTACTAAGAACACTCCTCTGAGAACCATTTGCATAGCTCAGGGCTTCCCAGGTGGCTCAGTGGTAAAGAATCTTCCTGCCAATGCAAGAGAGCTGAGTTCAATCCCTGGGTTGGGAAGATCCCTGGAAAAGGAAATGCAACCCACTCCAGTCTTCTTGCCTGGAAAAATTCCATGGACAGAGGAGCCTGGGGGAGCTACAGTCCACAGGGTCACAAAGAGTCAGACTCGACTGAACACACACACGCAGTTGAGTTTACAGTTCAGCAGCCGAATCTCTGAACTACTAACAATTAACCTCTGGGTCTCAAAGGTAATTGTAAGTACATACATTCATTTCCTCATATCTGTTTCTATGTCTTATATGATAAATGTATGTCTATGGATTTAACTTGAGGGCTATAGACTAGATTCTTAAGAAGTCTGAAATATAGTGAAAGGATTCTCTTCTGCTTATAAATCAGAATATCAGAATGTATTAAACACCCACCATACTCCTAACACAGCATAAAGCACTGAGGTGGAGGGTAGAGGAGGACGGTATATGGTAGCTAATTCCATATGAGGGATCACATTTCGTTTTTTACTTTGCTGAGTGGCGCAGCCTGTGGGGTCTTAGTTCCTCGCCCACGGGCTGAACCCGCGCCCCGGCGGTGAGTGTGCGGGGTCCCAGTGGCGGGACCACCGGGGTTCCCTGAGGGACTACACTAAACCGGGGAGCAATTCGGGAGAGTTAAATGCTGAACCACACCCAATAAAGCTCAGTGAGAGAGGAGCATGGACTGTACTAGAACAGTGGCTTTTAGGAAGGATTCGACTGAAGTCTCCATGAATGAGGATAAGAAAGAAAAGTAGAAAGGGGAAAGACATTTCAGATATCTGCATTGGTGTGTATGTAAACAACTGGGGAGAGGTACACATCAGCAAAAATAAAAGCCTGAAAATGTAATGGGAGGGAAGATAAATTTGTTTCACTGGCCTTACTATCAAGCAGATGTGTGTGTGCGTAACATATATCTGCTTAAACTGGAGCCTGGCATGTCAATAGTTAAGATATATAGTATTATATATAAAACATGTATATGTGCATGTAAATATGTATATCACTTGATCATTTAATCCTCATAACAATCCTACAAAGTATGTTCTAAGACCCATTTTCAGATAAGAAAACAGAACACAATGTTCTATAACCCTCCCAGGGCCATAGAGAACTTGGTGAGATTAGAACACAAGCAATATGACTCTTGAGCCTGAGATCATAGCCTTAATGACTTTGCCGCCTATAAAAATAAGGTCACCTTGGCAAAATTCTTCCTAGAATACCGTTTTCCAGGGTATACAGTGCTCCAATCTCTAAATTTAACCTCAGTAAAATTCTTTTGGTTTTTTTCCTTGAGATTTCCAGGAAGAACTGGTTATACAGGTTTGTTTCCTAAAGAGAACAGGTTTTTATTCAAGGTACTGAAATTGGACAGTCATGATCAAGTTTAGAGTATTTTATTCACTTTTCAGAATAGGCATCCTGATGATTATTAGATTGCAAATTCAGTAGTTAGTACAGGAAGTTCTGAAATTATACTGGGTTATGTTCCAAAACTTTATTTTTAAGTTATTTGGAACTTAAAACATATTCCCGTAGAAACAAAGCTATAAATGGTGGCTCCATTCTGTCCTCACACCATAAAGTCTTTTAAGAACCCCAATGAGGCTGTGTATTAATTCTTCCTAACTGTGCTGTGCTGTGCAGTGCATGCCATGCTAAATCAATTCAGTTGTGATTGACTCTGTGTGACCCTATGGACTGTAGCCCACCAGGCTCCTCTGTCCATGGGATTCTCCAGGCAAGAACACTGGAGTGGGTTGCCGTGCCCGGCTCCAGTGGATCTTCCTCACCCAGGGATCGAACCCATGTCTCTTAAGTCTCCTGCATTAGTAGGCAGGTTCTTTACCACTAGCACCAACCGTCCTGTAGTAGTATTAATACCTGCGCCTTCAGCACTAACAGAGGGACTATACAGCAATGCCTCCTACACTCAGCTCTCTAGGACAGGGACAGGCTTAACGGCCTTCCTGTTCCCTGTGCCTAGCACAATTCCCATGGAGTTGGCACTTAATGCATGCTTGTTAAATGAAAATATTAAATAAGAACCCAGGGAGCAGACACTGATAGATTTGAATACCAGCTCTCCTACTTACCCAACTACAAATTTTCACCTCTCTGAGCCTGCTTTCTCAACTATAAAATAGAGATAACCATACTCCTCATGGAACTCTTATATAAACTAGAGATGAAAACTGTCTTTCTAATCCAAGAGCAATAGAATTTTTCTTAAACATTAATGTCATCATTGTGAACAAAATTCACGGAATTTAACCAAGTGATCAAGTTCAACCTGCTGCTTTATAGATGAGAAAATGAACTGAGGCCCTGAGATATTAAGTCATATACTCAAAGTCATATCTAATTTTTGTAGATGACAGGATAGGACCTTGGTCTCTTTAATTCTGGTCTGGGGCTCCTCCTACAATTCTAACAGCTGCCCCCCACATACAGCAACATCTGGCTGTCTACTAGCTCCTCTGCATCAGCTTTGTTTTTCTGAAAAATATGAACTGTTCAAATTTGCAAGGTTTGTTTGCACCTACACAAAACGGCCTGAGGCTGTTATACTTTTGGAGAGTGTAGTTTGTGGGGTGGTTAGTATTTTTCTGTCTCCTTACTTGTCCAGGCCAACTGCTATCACTTCTAAAAGGTCTGCTGATCTCCTGTAGCCCAGCACTTCTGTTATGGGTTATGAAATTCAACAAAAACTCATTGAAACTGAGTCTACATAAATAATTTAATTTTCTGTGAAGACCTAGGGAAGTGTTCTATGAGTATGATAAGGTTTTAATTCATGCACTTTGTTTAACCTATCTTAATTTTTGATAGGCAACAAACTGCCTTACTCTTTGCTGAGGTTGTCAACCAAATAACTTCTGAATAACTAAGGTGTTACTGTAGGCAAGTTGCTAGGTCTAGGAGATGAATTTATTCACACAGAATGCAAAGGAAACATAGTGACTTTTGAAATATTCTCTCTCTCCAGGAGGGGAAAAGGAAAAGCATTTAATTCAGTCTACATTTTGATCTGTTCATCCTGAGAAGGCAACATGGCATCTTCTGACCACCAGAGGGCACTGGGTGAACAGCAGGCTTGTCTCAGCAAAAGGCAGCTTCACCAGGAAGTCCCTTTTTGCACGTGGCATTCATATTCTTAGGGTTCATTTTGTGGAACCCTATTCTTCAACATGCTCACTCTGTGATTTTGTCTGAGACCCACCTAAAACTGCTCTTCCCCCACCTCCATCATGTACTAACCATCCAGGATACTTGTGAGTCACCCAGGACTTCTGCCTCAGTTTACTAAGTTTTACCAATTTTCTCACTAAATATTTCTCAAATTTGCCCCTCTATTCCATCCTTACCTTTCCTGTCCTCTGAGGCATCAAATCTTTACTCCTAAATTATTACAATAGGCTCCTTAACTGGTTCCTCAAATCTATCCTTCACCCTCAGATGATTCATAAAGAACAAAAATCAGACCTTGTCATTCTGCTTCTCTGAGTCCTTTCACATACCCTCAGACTGAGGGTATGCAAAGTCCTTAAGGAAAGCATACAAAAGCCCTTCCTGTCCACCCATCTAGTCTCCTATGTGGTTACTTACTGCTTCAAACTTCAGACAAGCAGCATCAAACTGCTTGCCACCTCCCCTATCCTCCAACTCCATATACTTCATGTATTTCTTACCTCCATTTTTATTCACGCTAACTGGTTTTTAGCTGTCTGTTTTCAGCTAACTGTCTGAACCCAAGAATCAGTTAATCACCTTTGCCACAAAGTCCTCTGTAAGACCTCCCTCTCCCGGTGTTTTAGGTTTTGATATTACTGTGTATTATTTCTTTATTTTGCATTAACTATGCTATTTTTTAAATCATCAGAACAGCAACATAAAGCAGACGTTAATGCACAGACTAACCAGGCTGCCTGGATTCAAATTCTGGCTCTGTCACTTAGTAGATGTACGAACTCGAGCAGGTTACATCTGTGCCTCAATTCTCTCATCTGAGAATGGGGATGATAATCCTCCCTAGGGCTTCCCCAGTGGCTCTGGTAGTAAAGAGTCTGCCTGCAGTGCAGGAGACCTGCGTTTGATCCCGAGGTCGGGAAGATCCCCTGGAGAAGGGAATGACAACCCACTCCAGTGTTCTTGGCTGGAGAATTCCATGGACAAAGGCACAAGGAGGGCCACAGTCCATGGGGTTACGAAGAACTGGACACAACTGAGCAACTAACACACAATCTTCCCTAGGGTTTGGGTTACTGTAAGGAGGTGTGTCATGGAGCAGCTGCTAAATAAGAATCAGTTACCACAATTATCCACATGTTGGTCTCCCAGCTAGACTGTGAGCAACTTGAAGTCCAGGACTTTGGCTTGTTCCATTCTCTGCAGCATGGTGTGTACTCAGTAAATGTTGCTGGATGAAAACTGGAGAGGCAGCTCTAAGATGATGGTAGGGACTATCCAGCTTCCTTTTTTCAGCAAGTTCACATGTATTTTTTAATTGTA